GCGGGAACCAAACCTGGGTCTCTCTGGACCACAGGCTGACACTCTAACCACTGAGCCAAACCAGCCAGGGCTTAGCAATTCTTAATTTAGCACTTTTCCAATATGTTTTATATTACCATAAATAGTCCTCCCTTTTATTTGTGGTTGGTATTAGAATCTGAAGCATGTGCTTCCTTCCCCACCTATTGGTCCAGTGAAATCCATAAGGTGAATCTTCCTTTCCTATTGGTTAGTGTCAGGGGGGGGTAGTCACTGCATATCCTTGGGGCCTGGTTGCATCGTTTTTGTGAACACTCATAAAAATGGAGCAAAGCTTGCACAATACCCTCAGGAATTCCACCCTATTTCCACACTCAGATGATCTTTATTTAGTCCAGAGAATTTACTAATCTCTTTGTTTAAAAACTGTCTTGTTTATTACTTTTAAAATGGGAAAGGGGAGAGAGAGAGAGAGAGAGAGAGATCAGTGTGAGAGAGAAACATTGATCAGTTGCCTCCCAAACGTGCCCTGACTGAGGATCAAGTCCGCAACCTAGGTATGTGCCTTGACCAGGATTCGAACCCACCACCTTTCGGTGTACAGGATGGCGCTCCAACCAGTTAACCAGGGCAATAAAAAAAATAGTTTTTGGCCCTGGCTGGTTTTGCTCAGGGGTTAGAGCGTTGGCCCTAGAGCGCAGACCAGAGAGTCCCAGGTTTGGTTCCTGCTAAGGGCATGTACCTCGATTGCAGTTTGCCCCCAGCCCCGGTTGGGGCCGTGTGGGTGGCAGCCACTCGATGTGTCTCTCTCACATTGATGTTTCTCTCTCTCTCTTCCTCCCGTTCTATCTGAAGATAAATGAAAAACGAAAACAAAAAAACAGTTTTTGTTTAATATGTTTTTATTGATTTTAGAGAGAAGAAGGGAGAGGGAGAGAGAGAGAAACATTGCCTCTCACATGCTCCTTACTGGAGATCAAACCCAAAATGTGAGCCCTGGCCAGTTTGGCTCAGCGGTTGGAGTGTCGGCCTGCGGACCAGAGAGTCCCGGGTTCAGTTCCCATTAGGGGCAAGTACCAAAAAAAAAAAAACCTGACGTGCTCTGACCAGGAATCTAACCAGTGACTTTTTGGTGCATGGGTCAATGCTCAACCACTGAGCCACACTGACCAGGCTAGAACTACTACTTTTTTTTTTTTTAACCCTCACCTGAGGATATTTTTCTATTTATCTTCAGATACAGTGGGAGAGAGTGTGGGAGGGAGAGAGAAACATCAATGTGAGAGAGACACATCGACTGGTTGCCTCCTGCATAACCTCAACGAGGGCTGGGGACAGAACCACAACCAAGATATGTGCCCTTGACTGGAATTGAAGCCACGACTCTGGTCCAATGGCCAACGCTCTAACCACTGAGCAAAACTTGCCAGGGCTAGAACTTTTTTTTTTTTTTAATTTTTTTTTCTTTATTGATTTTAGAGAGAGGGGAAGGGAAAAGGAAAGAGACAAAATCATTGAAGAGAGAGAACATCGATTGGTCGCCTCCTATATGCCCCCCCACTGGGGATTTGGCCCACAAGCTGGGCATGTGCCCTGACTGGGAATTGAACTGGCGACCTCTTGCTGCATGGGTCAACGCTCAACCACTGAACCAGGCTAGAACACTGGCCAGGCTAGAACTTCTTTTTATTTTCTCCTTTACCTCTTGAACATTTTTATTTTATTTCATTTTATTTATTTATTTTTGTTTCAGGTATTTCTCCTTTTTCCCCCCATTGACACCCTCCTCCCAATCCTGCACCCCCCTAGCCCCCAGAACTTCTTCCTTCCTTCCTCACCCAAGGACATTTTTGCATCTATCTTCAGATAGAGTGGGAGGGAGAGAGGGAGGAAGAGAGAGAGAGAAACATCGATGTGAGAGAGACACATCGAGTGGTTGCCACCCACATGACCCCAACGGGGGCTGAGGACAAACTGCCACCGATGTATGTGCCCTTAGCGGGAACTGAACCTGGGTCTCTCTGGATTGTGGGCCAACACTCTAACCTCTGAGCCAACCGCCAAGGGCCAGAACTTCTTTTTTAAAAACATTCATTGTGGGCTCTTCTCCACATAGCAAGTAGCTGATGGGCCTTTAAGACTAACTTGGATCATGTCACTCCTCTGTTTTGTCTCTCACTGAGTCAGTGCCCAAGTCTCAGCAGGCTTTGAGGCCTTCTGTTACATGTTGTTTCTTCTGGCAGCCTCTGACCTTTCTCCTGCCCCTTTCTCTGCCCTTTGCCATGCTAGCTCTGTGCTGGTCCTCATACACTTCCTCAGCTTCATCTGTGCCCTTTGCCTTCTTGCCATTGCTGCCCAGCTTTCCCATCAGGCCTCTCTGCCACATGAAACACTTCCTGCCACTTAGAAACTGCTTCATTTTTGCCATGGCTGGTTTGGCTCAGCAGTTAGAGCGTCAGCCCATGGACCAAAGAGTCACTGGTTCGATTCCGATCAAGGGCACATACCTCGGTTACAGTTCATCCCTGATCCTGGTCGGGTCGTGAGGGAGGCAACCAGTCAATATGTGTCTCTCACATCTATGTTTCTTTCTGTCCCTCTCTCTCTCTTTCCATCTTTCTCCCTTCCTTCCCACTCTCTCTGATAGTAAATGAAAAAATATCCTTGGGTGAAGATTAAAGAAAAAAAATAAAAATGCTTTTTTTTCTCCATGGTGTTAGCATTTATTTGTGAATTTATGTCCCAGAATTTTCTTCATTAGACTAGAAGCACAAACGAGGGCAGAAACCTCATTTTGTTCTTTGCTGTATCCTTAGTGCCTGGAACAGTGTCTGGAATGTAGTAGATGTCTAATAATTTTCCTGACATTTTAATATTGGAAGATCAGAACAGACTAAGATTTGTACCTGTTATGCCATTTAAGGAGTGGTCAGTATTACTTTCTTGAAATCTTTTTTTTCTGCTAATTTTGGGATAATTTTTAGGTAGTTTTTTCTTCTAAATATAGTCAGTGGTCTGTTAGTTTAATACTGTCAACCAAGCCAAGACCATGGTGGCATTCCCATGTGAGCCCGCTGTGTTCTAGGCCTGAGAGATGCGCCTTGCTTACATTGGGAGGGGTCCTCCATGGGAGCCAGGGAGCCCCTAGGTTTGCTCGCCTCCTGATGTCTTCAGCCTGTTTCTCCATAGTCTACCACCATATCAACTGTGTTAGCTTTTGAAATTCCATCTCCACCTTTAATATGTAAGTGTTCTTCCTTCCTACTTGTAATCTTATAGGAAAGATCATGCCAACAAGAACAGATTCCACACTCTGATAATGACTTGATAATTATTAGTTTTTATTGTATAGACTCATCTTGAGTTAAGAAAATATAAATAGCCTCCAAATTCTGATAGTTTTATTAGAACTGCTTTTACAAGGTGTTCATTTGTGAGCCTAAGGAAAATGTTGCCTTAATGAGCTGCCATTACCTGGACGAATGAGGACTATTGGAGCCTTTGCTGGAATATGTCCAGACACGTGCACCATATTCATGCGAGGGAGATTCAGCCACTTTCTGTGATTGAATGAGTGCCGTCTACACTACTGAGATACCTTAAGTTCAAACAAAATGATACCAATGTAAATAAGACCTGAAGTTATGGGTTTGTTCCAGTTTGGATCATTAAACCCACATTTGATTGAAATTATGTATAAGTTAGAGTGGGTCTCAGTCTGTGTTCCATGAACTCGGCTGAAGTATGCTACTAGAATGACGAACTCTTCCTAATTCTCAGGGGAAAAAATTAGACTGATAGGTACAGTTTCCTACTGTTAAAATTTTTTACTCCATAATTTTCCTTGAAATGTCGGCATGTGTCCTTTGCCCTAGCAGCACACCAAGCGAACGGACACGCACCTTAGCATAGTCTCTGCACTGGAGCTCGCATCAGTCACCGGGAGGGCGTGTCGCTGTGCCTCATTTCAGGTCTCTGCTTTCTGTCTCTGAGTGGGGATCTGGGCTGGGACTTAAGGGTTCTCTGTGGAGAGGTGATTGGCTGTTTCTTTCATCTCTTAATTCTTCCTAGCCCTGGCAGGGTGGCTTCGTTGGTTGGAGTGTCGTCCCATTTGTTTTGCACTTTCTTATCCTAGAGCCTTTTTAGTCTGACTTACACAAAAAACAGAATTCCGTAATGAGGTGACATTATGGACATCCTTTTTTTCATCCCATTACCAACAAACATAATCTGTTATACTCTCACTTCCAAAGGTCCTTATAAATTACAGGTATCCCTTACTGTCCAAATCATTCAGTTCCTAAATTCGGGTCTTAACATTCCTTTAGTGAGAGATAAGTCTATGTTAGCGAATATAATCTCTCAGTTTTTGTAGCCATTGTAAAGGAATGGTAAGGAAGACATTTTATGATAGGCAGTACTTTGATGAGATACCCCTAAATACCTTGAATGTTGACTTTAAACTAACAACAAAAAGATGTGACAGAACTTTTGCAGACAAGAGAGACGTCTTTGTAGTTTACTCACAGAGTTAATAGAATGTTACCAAAAGGTGTGATTTGAGCAAATTATTGAGCTATACCTAGATATCAGCATAATAAGGAGCAAAGATCATTCTTAATGGTAACTGAAGGATAGATTTTTATTGACAACTTGCTATTTACTAGTTGCTATTCAGAACACAAGCAGTGAACAAGACAGTGAGTCCCTCCTCGGGGCCTGGGGGCGTTGCGACCTCAGCAAGATAGGGATGGCTGGGAGCCAAGGTGGTCTAAAGAACAGAACCATTAATAATAATTTACTTTTAATACTCTCTCTTTCTCAAGGGTCTGTGTGGCATGATCTTTTATGTACTTACCTCCCTATTTTGTTTTGTTTTTATATTTTGTTTCTGTTAGGAGAGAACATTGAAGTTATTCTCTAAGCTATTTGAAGAGAGTGACTAAATGCACCTGGGTCAGGCTGTCTGTGGGTATGAAGTGGTTGGGAGAATCCAAGAACATGGTGGTGAATGGCAGGAGAAATGGAGGCAAGTTGTCTAATGACCATCAGCAGAATCCATCAAAGTTACAGCACACAGGAAAAGACACCGTGAAGGCTGGCAAAAACGCAGTGGAGAGGAGGTCAAGCAGATGTATGTACATACTCACTGTTGCTCTTTTGATTGTGATATGGGGCAGTAATTCTTTCCAGTTTGTAATGTGTTCTGTTCTCTGTTGTTTTCAAACAATTCTTTATGTTCTCACGGTTAACAGTGTAGTATTTTATTCTTTCCAAGTTATATCAATTTTAATTCTCATCAAACATATACAACTTCAGTTTAATGCTTAATATAATAACTTCAATCATGCTTTCATATCCATGGTTTTAAATTATATTTTGTAGAATTTATACCTAAATGGTTAATCTCGTCTATAAAAAATATTAAAATACTGCTACTGAACTGAATTTCTTAAAAATTCAAACTGTATTTTTTATATTTGATGTAAATATAAATATGTGTGTCTTTGAAAACTTACAATAATATGGATAATAAAGCCAACTCTAATTTGCATGATAAATAGAGTTTAGGGCAGCTTCACAAATTGTCACCATTTCTTCTGTTTATATAGGGTGAACAGTCCTTTATCCTGACAGGGAGACACTGTTGATACTAAGTTACTTTTTTACCTCTATACCTCTTGGTAAGAATGAAACTACTTGTTCAGAGTTCTGAGAAATTGTAGAGTTCATACGTGTTTCATAGTTCTTTTAAGAGTAGTAAATTGGCCCTGGCTGGTTTGGCTCAGAGGTTAGAACATCAGCCTGCGGTACAGTAGACCCGGGTTTGGTTCCGGCTAAGGGCACATACCTTGGTTGCAGTTTGTCCCCGACCCTGGTTGGGTTGTGTGGTTGGCGACCACTCGATGTGTCCCTTTCACGTTGATGTTTCTCTCTCTCTCCCTTCCTCCCACTATCTGAACAACAACAAAAAAGAGTAGTAAATTGTCCTAGGAAAGTATAAACCTAAATAGACAGCTACATGAAATTTCCCCAGAGTATGGCCATGTTAAGGAGTGCAACTTTTCCTGTTTCTTACTTTTCCTAAGGTTAATTTAGCCACTGCTGAACAGCTTTAGTTTGTGTTGGACTTGGCCTACTTCCAGTAGATTGGATTAACCTGGGGCACGCTGCAGTTTTAGATGGATTGCTCCAATTCTGGTTCTTTTCATTCTTACCTTTTAGGGGTTTACCATATCAGATCAGGTCACAGTTTCTATAAAGAAACAGACAAAAGTTCCTGCTTTGGATAAGAGTAGAGGGAGAGTCCAAAGCTGAATGGATTCTCTTCTGCACAGACACCTCCTCACCCCTTAGCAAGGATGGGAACCTGAAGGAATTGAGAAATATAGTGACCATAGCAGTGGTATTGGCTCTGTTCAGTAAATTGGGCGTCTCTTAAATCTTTTTTTTTTTTTTGTAAGCAAATTACTATTGGCTTCCTTTTGTGCATCATAGTGAAAAAAGTCTTAGTTTAATTTTTGGAGGCACATAAAAATTTAGAAAACGACTATTATATGAGCTACATTTTGCCAAGTGTAGACAGACTTAAAGGGATAGGTTGGAAAAACCCAGAGAGCTGAAGATGGACAGCATCACATTGAATATTACTGGTGCAAAAAGAGAGCCAGTGATGAGAAACAAAGCAGTGCTCCATCTTAGATAAACTGCAGTGCTTCACCTAACATCAGAGCCACAAAATACATGGAACAAAAACTGATAAAATTGAGGCTAAAAATAGAGAATTCAACAATAATTTGGAGACTTTAATAACCTACTGTCAATGATATGTAGAACAAGGAATGAAGACAGTTATCGCAACCAGCTCTTACAGACATCTGTAGAACACTCCACCAACAACAGCAGAATGTACATTGTTTTCTTTTTTTTTTTTTTTATCCTCACCCGAGGATATTTTTCCATTTTTTGTACAGATAGAGTGGGAGGGAGAGAGAGGAAGGGAGAGAGAGACAGAAACATCGACGTGAAGGGACACATCGAGTGGCTGCCACCCGCACGACCAACCAGGGCTGGGGACAAACTGCAACCAAAGTATATGCCCTTAGCGGGAACTGAACCCGGGTCTCTCCGGACCGCAGGCCGACGCTCTAACTGCTGAGCCAAACCGGCCAGGGCTGTACATTGTTTTCAAGTACACATGGAACAGTTGTAGGATAGACCATAGGCTAGGCCAATCAGCAAGCCTCAATAAATTCAAAAGGATTAAACTCATACATTATATGTTCTCTGACAACAGTGGTGTAAAATTAGAAATGAATAATAGAAATTTGAGAAATTCACAAATATATGAAAATTAAACAACACACTCCTAAATAACCAATGGGTTAAAGAAGAAATCAAAAGGGAAATGAGAAAATTCTTTTGGATGATTGAAAATGAGGATACAACATACTAAAACTAATGGAGTGCAGCCAGAGCAATGCCTAGAGAGAGATTTGTAGCTTGTGAACACCTATATTTTAAAAAGAAGAAAGATCTCAATCAATAATCTAACTTTTTACTTAAAACACAAGAAAAAGAAAAGCAGAAGGAAGGAAATAATGGAGTGAAATTAACAAAATAGAGAATAGAAAAACGGTAGTGATAATCAAAAAAGCTACAAGTTAGTTCTTTGAAAAGATCAACAAAATTGGCGAACCTTTATTTAACCAAGGCTGACGAAGAAAAAGAGAAGAATCAAGAATGAAAGAGGAGCCTGGTTGGTGTGGCTCAGTGGTTGTGCGTTGACCCATGCACCAAGAGGTCACCAGTTCAATTCCTGGTCAGGGCACATGCCCAGGTTGTGGACCCAATCCCCAGTGAGGGGCATGCAGGAGGCGGCCAGTTGATGTTCTCTCTCATCAATGTTTCCATCTCTCTCTTTCCCTCTCCCTTCCTCTCTCTCTCAAATCTATAAGGGAAAAAAATTTTTTTAAAGAATGAAAGAGGAGACAGCCCTGGCCAGTTTGGCTCAGCGGTTAGAGCATCGGTCTGCGGTCCAGAGAGACCTGGGTTCGGTTCCCGCTAAGGGCGCGTACCTCGGTTGCAGTTTGTCCCTGGCCCTGGTTGGGTCGTGCAGGGGGTCAGCCACTCAATGTGTCCCTTTCACGTCGATGTTTCTCTCTCTTCCCTACCGTTCTATCTGAACGAAAAATGGAAAAGTGTCCTCGGGTGAGGATAAAATAAAAAAAGAAAGAGGAGACATTACTACTATCTCACAGACTTAAAAAGAATTACAACAATATTATGAACAACTGTATACCCACAAATTAGATAACTTAGATTAAGTGAAAAACTTGCTAGAAAGTAACAAACTACCAAAACTGAATCAAGAAGAAATACAAAATCAGAATAAACCTATAGCTAATAAAGAGATTGAATCAGTAACTAAAAAAGGAAAAAACAAAACAACACTACCTACAAGAAAATTCAGGCCCAGATGGCCTCATTTGAATACTGGCAGATGTTTAAAGAATTAATACCAATTCTTCACAAACTGTTCCCCAAAAAAAGAAGAAGGGAAGGGAACACTTACTGGTTCATTCATTGAGGCCAGTATCCTGCTACCAAAATCATCAGCAAATACTAACAAACTATATCCAGCAACAAATTAAAAGAATTCTACAGCATGACCAAGTGGAATTTATCACAGGAATGCAAGGTTGGTTTAACATCTGAAAATTAATTAATGTAATACATTATTATATCAAGAGAATGAAGGACTAGAACTATACAATGATCCCAAATAGATGTAGAAAAAACTTTTGACAAAATCCAACACCCTTTCAGGAAAAAACATTCAGCAAACTAGGAATAGAAGAGAATTATTCAGCCAGATAAAGGATATCTATGAAAAACCCACAACTGCCCAGCCTGTGTGGCTCAGTGGTTGAGCATCAACCCATGCACCAAGAGGTTGCCGATTTGATTCCCAGGTAGGGCACATGCCCAGGTTGTGGGCCCGATCCCCCAGTAGGGGACATGCAGGAGGTGGCCAGTTGATGTTCTGTCTCATTGATGTTTCTCTCTTTCTCTCTCTCCCTTCTTCTCTCTCTAAAAATCAATAAAGAAAAAAATTAGAAAAGAAAAACCCACAACTAATGCCATATTTAGTGGTGAAGTACTAAGTGGTTTTCCCCAAGATCAGGAATAAGACACAAAACCCATTCTCACCACTTTTATTCAGCATTATACTAGAGGGTCTTATCACAGCAACTAGGCAAGAAAATTAACTAAAATCCATACAGATTGGAAAGAAAGAGGTAAAATAATCTCTATTTGCAGGTGATATGATTGCATATATAGAAAATCCTAAGGAATTTACTAAAAAACTATTAGAATTAATCAACTTCAGCAACATTTCAGGATACAAGATCAGTATACAAAAATCAGTTATAGCCTGACCAATGCAGCTCAGTGGTTGAGCATCGACCCATGCACCAAGAGGTCGCTGGTTTGATTCCTGGTCAGGGCACATGCCCAGGTTGTGGGACAAGTCTCCAATGGGGGGCATGCAGGAGGCAGCCGATCAATGTTCTCTCTCATCGATGTTTCTATCTCTCTCTCCCTCTCCCTTCCCCTCTCTTTAAAATCAATAAAGAAAAAAAATTTTTTTTTTAATTGTAGTTCTTTAGACTTTCAGTGAACAATTCAAATTTGAAACAATTTCATTTACAATGGCAACAAAAAGAAAAATAGCAACAAAGTTAATAAAAGTGTAATACTTATACTCTGAAAACCACAGAACATTATTGAAAGAAATTTATTTGTTTTAGCCCTGGCCGGTTTGGCTCAGCGGTTAGAGCATCGTCCCATGGACCAGAGAGTCCTGAGTTCGGTTACCGCTAAGGGCACGTACCTCGGTTGCAATTTGTCCCTGGCCCCGGTTGGGGTCATGTGGGTGGCAACCACTCGCTGTGTCTGTCTCACATCGATTTTCTCTCTCTCTCTCTTTCTTTTTTTTTTTTTATCCTCACCCGAGGATATTTTTCCATTTTTTGTACAGATAGAGTGGGAGGGAGAGAGAGGAAGGGAGAGAGAGAGAGAAACATCGACATGAAGGGACACATCGAGTGGCTGCCACCCGCACGACCAACCAGGGCCGGGGACAAACTGCAACCGAAGTACGTGCCCTTAGCGGGAACTGAACCCTGGTCTCTCCAGACCGCAGGCCGATGCTCTAACCGCTGAGCAAAACTGGCCAGGGCTTCTCTCTCTCTTTCTCCCTCTCTTCTTTCCACTCTATCTGAAGATAAATGCAAAAATGTCTTCAGGTGAGGATAAAAAAAAAGAAAGAAATTTATTTATTTTAATATGTTTTTATTGATTTTTTTTTAGAGGAAGGGAGAGAGAGAGAGAGAAACATTGATGTGAGAGAGAAACATTGATCTGCTGCCTTCTGCACTCCCCCTAGTGGGGATCAATCCTGCAACCTGGGCATGTGCCCTAACCAGGAATCGAACCTGGACCGCTCAGTCCATAGGACGATAATCAACTGAGCCACACTGGCCGGGCTGTTGAAAGAAATTTAAAAAGACCTAAGTATAAATAGAAAGACATCAAATGTTCATTGATTAGAAGACCTAATATTGTTAAGATGGCTGTACTCCCTAAATGATCTACAGATTGAATGCATTTTCTGTCAAAATCTCAACTGGTTGCTTTGCAGAAATTGACATGCTGAAATTCTCGTGGAAATTTGAGGGACCCAGAACAATGAAAGCAATCTTGAAAAAAGGACTCTTAGTCATCAATAAAATGCAAATTAAAACCATAAGATACCACTTCACAACAACCAGGATACCTAGAATCAAAAGGACAAGTAGTAACAAGTGTTAGTGATGATGTGGAGAACTAAGAACTCTCATACATTACTGTTGGAAATGTAAAATGGTCTATCCACTTTGAAAAACAGTCTGTCAGTTCCTCAAAAGGTTAAGCATGGAGTTACCATATGACCTGGCAATTCCACTCCTAGAGATATACTACCAGAATTGAAAACATGTACACACAAAAACTTTTGCTTATATGTTCATAGAATCATTATTCATAACAGCCAAAAAGTAGAAATAGCCCAAATGTCCATCAACTGATGAATAATCAAAATGTGGGATATCTATACCTCTATAGAGTGGAATATTATTTAGCCATGATAAGGAATGAAGTACTAATACATGGTACAACATGGATAAACCTTAAAAACATTGTGCTAATTGAAAGAAGCCAGTCACAAAGACCACATATTGTATGATTCCATCTATATTAAATTTTCAAACTAGATAAATCCATAGAAACAGAAACTAGATTATTGGTTGCCAGCGGCTGGGAGGGAGAAATAGGTAGTGACTTCTAATGGGTGTGGGGGTTTTTTTGGGGAGTGATGAAAAAACGTTTCAAAATTGATTGTGGTGATAGTTACACAATTATGTGAATATATTAAAAGACAATATTATGTGAATATATTAAAAAACAACAACATTGAATTGTACACTTGAAATGAGTGAATTATATGGTATGTGTATTATAATTCAATAAAGCTGTTACAGAAAAATGCAATGATTTGATAGCTTTTCACATACCTATATTCCAATACTTTGATTGCAAATCATATATCTACCCCTTGGTAGGGACTTACATATAAGTGTTTAACTTTATTTTTTGAAAGAGTGAATGAAAGGGTTATACCTCTCACTGTGTGTCTCTTCTCATTCTTTTTTTTAAATCCTTACCTGAAGATATTTTTCTATTTATCTTCAGATAGTCAGTTTGGGGTGAGGGGGGGCATCGAAGAGACACATCAACTGGTTGCTTCCCGCACGACCCCGACCAGGGCTGGGGACTGAACCACAACTGAGGTATGTGCCCTAGACCGGAATCAAACCTGTGATTCTTTGGTCCTTGGGCCAACTCTCTAACCGCTGAGCCAAACCGGCCAGGGCTCTATTCTCATTCTTAATTTTGAGAAGCTTAAAGTTATACTGCTGGTATCTTCATTGACTGCTCTGATAAGACTGTCAGTGACATGTACATCAAACTGAAATCAACACTGATGAAACTTCATACATGCAAATTTGGCCTTCCTTTCCTCTTCCTTTCCTCTCCCTTCCACAACTAAACCCAATTACTTCAGTCACATATATATTTCAGTCACCTTCCCTATTTTTATCCAGTTCAAAATGTTTTCAGACAGGCCAGTAGAAATAGGCCTATTGTTCTCTCTTTCCCACTTCTACCACCTAGCTCTGTAATTATAGACAAGTTTCTTTTTTCTTTTCAACTTCCAGCACCATTATTTATTTTCCCTAGAATTTAGAAACAATTAACTGCAGCAAGACTGTGCGTAGTACTATTTGACCTTCATTTTATGTCCTTTAAACTACACTTCAGGCCCTGGCCAGTTAGGCTCAGCGGTTAGTGCGTCGGCCTATGGTCCGGAGAGACCCGGGTTAGGTTCCCGCTAAGGGCATGTACTTCGGTTGCAGTTTGTCCCCGGCCCTGGTTGGTCGTGCGGGTGGCAGCCACTCGATGTGTCCCTTCACGTCGATGTTTCTCTCTCTCTCTCCCTTCCTCTCTCTTCCTCCCACTCTATCTGTACAAAAAATGGAAAAATATCCTCGGGTGAGGATAAAAATAAATAAATAAATAAACTACACTTCAGTATTTATAAACATGAATGCACAAACCAGTAAAACTGGAAAACTAAAAATTGACATACTAACAAATTTGCTTAATGTTTTTGTAACTACAAAATGTTATATGTAACATGTGGAGTTTGATATAACAGAATTTGGCCTTTATTAACTAGCTTACACATAAACAAAGTGACTCTTTGTTCATCTGTTCTAACCTATTACACCAACAGACCCCATCCCATAGCTTTTATGTGAACACACGATTCCTTCCCTTAAAACAAAGGCAAGGTCCTTTTTTTTTTCCCTCACCCGAGGACATTTTTCCATTTTTTGTTCAGATAGAGTGGGAGGGACAGAGAGAAGAAGAGAGAGAGAGAGAAAAACATCAACGTGAAAGGGACACATTGAGTGGCTGCCACCCACGTGACCAACTAGGGCCGGGGACAAACTGCAACCAAGGTACGCACCCTTAACAGGAGCTGAACCCGGGTCTCTCTGGACCATAGGCCGACGCTCTAACCGCTGAGCCAAACCGGCCAGGGCCAAAGGCAAGTTTCTTAACCTCTGGACCTGTGTACCAGCAAAGCAGAAAATAGTTACTCATCTGACCCAAAACAGGAAGCTGGAGTTAACTTCTCTGGACTCCTTTTGGTACTTAAGATCAAGATCTACCCTTCTGGCACTTACTGCAGAGAGTATCTTGTGTTCTTCCTGTTTCCTCCTCACCCATCCCTGTCTGTAATGGCCCTTTATGCTCTCTTGCCACCTTTTTTTTTTTTTATCCTCACCCTAGGACGTTTTTGCATTTATCTTTAGATAGAGCGGGAGGGGGGAGAGAGCAACATCGATGTGAGAGACACACATCTACTGGTTGCCACCCACATGACCCTGACCAGGGCCCAGGGACAAACTGCAACCAAGGTACATGCCCTAAGCAGGAACCGAATCCAGGACTCTCTGGTCCGAGGGACGACGCTCTAACCGCTGAGCCAAACCAGCCAGGGCTCTCTTGCTACCTTAATGACCATCCACCCTCCCAGTTTCTCAGCTCTTCCTTGGAGAGGCAAGGTGTCTGAGCCAAAGATTCTCACAGACCCTCTTCTTGGGAAACCTGATATTATCTGGTAACAGAAACACTCGCAATAATTGGGTTAGTTCACTGCATTTGGTTTTATGTTTATGCATTTAGTACTCCACTCTCCATTATTAAAATTGATAGAAATAATTTTACTTATTGATTACTAGCTTGAATGGGCAAAGGTTTTTAAGGTAGACTTTAGTCGTTTGCAATTTGAGTTACTTTTCTTTTTTTTTTCACAGGTAACGGTAACTCAGGATTTGAAGGACAGAGTCGATATGTACCATCTTCTGGGATGTCCGCCAAGGAACTCTGTGAAAATGATGACTTAGCAACCAGTTTGGTTCTTGATCCCTATTTAGGTTTTCAAACACACAAAATGAATACTAGGTAATTTTAAGTCTTTCTCCTGAATGACACACATGATGTTGAATTTAAGAAAATAGATGGCTAATTTTACTTTTAGTCAAAAATCGAAATGACATTAAAGGAAAGTACTTGGCTACAGAAGGATTTTCTATATGTGAGCCAAGAAAAGCAACAAAAGCTTCTGAGAATCTTGTCAGTTTACATTCTGTGTTATTTTATCTCCAGATATTTCTTACTAAAATATGAACCTGGGGGAGCTTATTTATATTGTATTTTAAATGTTGATGATAAAGAAAAAGCTGACAAGCATCATGTAAAACCTTAAACATGTATTTTTTTTTTTTTTTTTACTGACAGGTTAGGTTACATTCATTTTTTTAAGGGTTTTATTACAGACTTTTCTTCTTTTAAATAATTGCCATTGTACATAGGGAAATTTGCATCGTGTTTAATCTTTGAGATGCAGCTAAGTAAGATTCAGCTAAGCAAGAGTGAATCTTTTTATTCTTTTTTTTTATCCTTACCAAGGGCACTTTTGCATTTATCCTCAGATAGAGCAGGAGGGAGAGATGGGGGAAAAGAGGGAGAGAAACATCGATATAAGATAGGTACATCAGCTGGTTGCTACCCACACGATGACCCCACCTGGGGCGGGGACAAAACTCAACCAAGGTATGTGCCTGTACCGGAAACTGAACCCAGGACTCTCTGGTCCACGGGCCGATGCTCTAACCTCTGAGCAAAACCAGCCAGGGCAGGAGTGAGTCTTTTGAAAGATGTGCTCACATTCAGTACGCAGATAAGAAAATAGATGGGCAAGGGCTTTGTGGAGTATCCTATGTCATCTGCATAAAATGTCACTGCGTTGGTCTTAAGATTTGTCGCCCTTTAAATTTCTTCTAGTTCCCTAAACACCATCTCTCCTCCAAAAGGTCCTAGATAATTGTGTGATTGACATCCACCATACACTAAGTCAGAGCTTTCCAACTTTTATTTATCTCTTAACTTCCATGGCAAAGGGTTTTAAAGTCTGATGGAAAAGCAGAGGGATTTAGAATGTAGAGCAAGTTCTGGGCCAACATTCACTCTCACCTCTGTCACCCTGCACCACTGTTGAGTTGCTCCAGTGTCACTAACTAGCCCTGGAAGGACTTGATCACCAATAATTAGTTGGGAGGAGATAGGAATTGGTGATTAGAGGAAAATCTTGTGTCTGTTTCCTTTTAATTCTCTCCCTTGCTTGAAGTAAGATACTGTATGATGCATTTATCGATTACATTCTAAATCCAAAAAGAAGTAATTCCAGTAACAATGTGCCTTTGGTATTTTCATGTAATTTCCTGTCATCATGTATCTTTACTTACTAAAATGTCGTGAAAAGCTGGGATGAACTTGAGAGATTCTTTAAATAGTTCCCTGCCTTCAGAGGGGCAAATATCTAAATTTTCTAAATAGCAGACAGATGGCTGTTCTCTGGAAAATCAGCAGAATTACATGCCCTGGTGTCCAAGTATGATCTACTTTGCATTATTTTAAGTCCATTTCTTTTTTTCCACTGAACATAGAGACCAGCGCTCAATCCCTAGAGCAGCGGTTCTCAACCTTCCTAATGCTGCGACCCTTTAAAACAGTTCCTCATGGTGTGGTGACCCCCAACCATGAAATTATTTTCATTGCTTCTTCATAACTAATTTTGCTACTGTTATGTCTTAGGCAACTCCTGTGAAAGGGTCGTTCGACCCCCAAATGGGTCATGACCCACAGGTTTAGAACCGCTGCCCTAGAGGTTCTTTATGGTATTTAAGTCACCCTTTAGCCTTCTATTTTCCCTGAGTTAAGAAATGTGAATCACTGATTCATGTAACAGTCTAGTGACGTTCAGGATATTACTGCAAAGGCCCATAATTATGACCTGGAGTCACCAAAAAAGAGTTTAATTATCTTCATTACACCTTATATAGTGAAATATGGAAGCATATAAACAATTTTCGAAAGCAGTTCATCAAAATTACAAAACATTGTTAGTGGCTAAGGAAAGAAGTTGTGTGTTCAGAATCCCCATGCACTGACTATTCCAGAGGGTGTAGGGTTGCCTGTTACTGGATTCTGCTGTAGGAAATAATTCCTACTTTTCTGTAAAACTTTCCCTTGGTAGTTAGTTTATGGGAGTCACTTGGAGAGTCTTGTTAAGGTGCAGATTCTGACTCAGTAGTGTGAGATGGGGCCTGAGAGCCTCCATTTCTTTGCAACAGCAGCTCCTAAAGCAGCTGGCCGACTGCGCTTCCTCGTGATGTGCTGGTGGGTAAAAAGCTCCTTACCAGTAGTTTCTTAGGACTTACTTAAAAATGTATGTCTTAAAATGTCAAGTTCAGGATTGCTACACAAATATTAAAATTCAAGACCTTATCCAGGCATCCCTAAATTAAAATGTATCCCGTACATAAAGTTTTTTATGAATAGAAATTGAAGGATCTAAAATGAAAACTGGTTAAAGCCAAGTTAAACATGCAGAAGAAAACAAGTACTTACATTTTTCAGTAGTACGACATTTAATTTTTCTCATAGCAGTCCCTAAAATAGCCATTGGTGGTGTAGACAGCCCTGCTGTCCCCCGGGTAGGATGGGTTGGTTTCGCAGCAGCGGGCACCAGAGCCCCTGTGCGTGGGCAGTTGACGTTGCTGTATCAAGGAGTGCTCTCGGTGTTCATTTCCAAGTACTTTAACAGACGCTTGTAAGCGACCTTTGGGAAATACACAGAAATTTTATTAATGAAGCTGTTAATCTTAGTGGACTTACTTGAAAATAAAACTATCTGTTCTAGTTCTTCATCTTTTGAGCAAGAGTGTTGACTTACATCATGTTCAAAGATATTTTATAGACAATAAGGAAATCTATAGTGCTTTATTTGAATAAACCATTTCTTAAATCACTAGCTTGTGGACTTCTCTCTTTTTGGGGTTCAAAGGAAGTAACTGGAAGATAGGTTTGGAGCTTGGATTTTAATACTCCAAGCTGTCTGTTACTTGTGTGGTGGTCACTTTGTTTCACGTTTATACATCTGTAATTGCTTGTTGGTATTTAGTTTCTCTTTTAGACCCCTTTTCCTCCTCTCGTCTTCTTTCAGTGTACTGTGTTCAGAAACAGTAGATGTTTAATGATTTGAGAATTTCCCAAACTAGCTATAGTATGAATGTTCATGTTTCGATCTTAATATATCCCTATATTTACTAACAACTTAGTAATAGCATGAATTCCTAGAATTACTATAAACAAAATAGTAATTTCAATTTATTGGAAAATATTTAGATTTAGTTGATGTGTCAATTATGAAACTTAAATTCTTCCTTTTAGCTGGAGAATAGAGTTGTTAGTAATACCTCTGATTTTTAAAAATCAGTGTGGGGTGGTGGATATTGTAAAGCTGGGGCAGATGCTGTAAGTAATGCCCCTGGTCTAGGCTGTAGAACCCAGAAATTTGACAGTATCCTGAGGGGTGGGGGACTTTGAAGTGAGCTGAGCAGAAAATAACATTATAAAAAAATGAGAAGAGTCATTTCAGGGCACTTTTTCTTTGAAACTTTTCTCGATTTTTCTGATCCAAACTTTAGTCTGTACAGTCCTTATTCGTCCTTCCACTACTCTCACCATCTAATTTCATGCACTTATTTATATGTTTGATTATTCATATCCACTGTTGGATATGAATTTATAAATCACATTAAATGTCACTTGACTAGAAAGCATAAGGAAATTCTTAGACCTTCTAACTCAATACGATGTATTGGAAGGAAAGAATTTCAGCATTCTAGCTTTTATCATGCTGAGACTACCCCAGACTTCATAAAGTTCTTGAATACCAGTGTTTTAAGGATTTCTACAAAAGGTAACATTATAAGTCTGTTTTAGATATTACAGATACAGATTGTACAAATAGTTTTTTATTGTTGTTGTTTGTTTTTGCATTTATATAGCGCCTTTCCTTCGAGGAGCTCAAGGCATTTTTCAAAATCTGACAGTTTCCCTCACAACAACCCTGTGAGGTAGGTAGAGTGCATTACAAACAATAATAAGATGCCCGCTAACCTGTTACAGCCTTTATGATGTTCCTTATGTTAAGTGATGGAGGTGTCAGTGTAAACATGAGTTTCAGAACATGTTGCAAACCTTTTAAAGTAGTTTGGTCTTAGTCATAGCTGTATTTAAAAAAAATAACTTGTACTCCATAACAGGGTAATTTTAAGAGAAATCTTTCATCAAAAGATCAGCAGTCACTCCCTGGGATTAGCTGAGCACTGAGTGCAGGACTCAGCCAGGTATGTTTCTGGTTGTTGTTTATTTCCAGGTGAAGAAGGAACAAAGAGCTGTGGCTCTAGCATGCAACCATCTCCCCCTTCCCCCTCCTCCCCTCCCCCCTCCTCCCCTCCCACTCCTTCCCCTCCTTCTCCCCCTCCCCCACCGCCCCCTCCCACTCCTCCTCCCCTTCTCCTTCCCCTCCTTCTCCCCCTCCCCCACCTCCCCCTCCCACTCCTCCTCCCCTTCTCCTTCCCCTCCTTCTCCCCCTCTTCCCCTCCCCCTCCTTTTCTCCCTCCCACTCCTCCCCCTCCCCCACCTGTCCCTCCCACTCCTCTCCTCCTTCCCTTCCTTCTCCCCCTCTTCCCCTCCCCCTCCTCCTCTCCCACTCCTCCTCCCCTCCTTTCTCTTCCTTTCTCCCTCCCCCTCCTCCCCTCCCCCCTTCTCCCCTCCCACCCCTCCTTCCCTCCCCCTCCCCCTCCTCCATACCTGTAAGCTGTCAGCTTGCAGTTCTTCAAGGGGGAAATGTGTTCACAGTGTTGCCTCATGGTTTCTTATTTAATATATTAAATATTTGAGCATTTTTCTCTCTCTTCCTCTCTCCTTCCCTTGCTCCCTTTTCTCTGCGCCCCTTCTCTTTCCCCGTCTTCCAGTCGGCTCTTGGCTGTGCATGTAATGGCCAGTAGCACAGCTAACCCAAATCGACAGCCCTCCTTCACTGCCAGTGCTCTCTGGGGTTTGGAGACAGAAAAGCCACATAGCAAGGAAACCTGGGAAGTCAGTCTCTGGAAAGTGGGGAACAGGTGTGTGGGAGTGTGAATTCATGTTTTTCCTGCCCCTTTTAATAATAACGATTATAAATGACGTTTTATTTTATTTCTTATAGCAGCCATTGATCAGAAGTGTGGAAGGAGAGAAATGTTTGGTTTATTTAAAGTAGCAAATTTTGTGTTAGGGAAGAGAGGGGCATATTGATTTGGAAAATACCAGATACCTGTTTCTCTTGCCTCCCCTGCCACCCCACTTCACCCCCAAATATAAAAATTAAAAGTATATATTACTTTTCATTGTATTGTTAGAATACCAGCCAGCGCTGCCCCTGAGCTGGGCTCCGGGCTAGTGCTTCGTGGCAGACGCAAGTCAAATCCTGCTCTAATGTGAAACCACACCGGAGGGCCCTCCGAGTCCACGTGAGAGCAGGCTTGCGGGGGGCTCCTCTAATCAGCCCTCGTGGGCCCTGTTTTCCTCATTTATGGAATAAGAGGGCTGTTCCTGATAGTCTGGATTTTCTTCTAGCTTTAAGAACCATGGTGTACGGACAGCTTCGAGTAATGTGTATGGGACATTTAGAGCGATTATGATAAGGGAGAGGGCAGAGGGTATCTTTCTACTCAATAATAGAAAAGTATTTCAGTTTTTTTTCTAAGGTCCTCAGTGCTGTTTGTTCTGGCCCTGATAGTTGTAACAATCTTACGTTATTAAATAACTTTTATTTCCTGGCAGTATTGGTTGTAATGGGATTTGACTTGAACTGTCAGCCAGGTGATTTTAATGTATTTTTGTAGGATTATTGAAAACAGCTGTCTCTTCCCTTTCCTGTCTGCACCCAGAACCATTTTCTTCTTTCTTTGCCTCATTTTCACTTCACACCTATAGCAGCCAACTGTGACAGGAAGTTTTTTTTGTTAATCGTCACCTGAGGATATTTTTCCATTGATTTTTAGATAGAATGAAAGAGAGGGGAGAAACATCCATGTGAGAGAGACACATCAATTGGTTGCCTCTCAAACGACCCCCACCAGGGCCAGGGATTGAACCTGCAACCCACATACATGCCCTTGCCTGGGAATCGAACCCATGACCCTTCCATCCTCAGGCCGTTTTAACCAGTGAGCCATACTGGCCAGGGTTGACAGGAAGTTTTGATGGTAAATTATATTTTAAGTGAAATGGGGGTTCTTGCTAGTGTTAAGTAACAGTTTGGGGGGTTTTGTTTGTGTTTGGTCCAGTAGAAATCGGGAAAGCAGAAACAAGTCAGCACAGGAAATGTGGAAGGCAGAATATGACTAAATCCACAGTTGATTATTTTGTATTGGTTTTAGCATATAAATTGGCATTATGAACAAAGAGTAAACGAAACTACAAGAGCTGATAACTGACAGACGTCTTTAGATAGAAAGAAGCAGGTGTCAGGAAGTGGAGAACACACATCAAGCCCATAGGGATAGCCGGTGTTCGTTCCAGGTCTGTGACGTCTTTTTCCGTCGTGTTCTTTAAAAAAATTTTTTTTTCTTTATTGATTTTAGAGAGAGAGAAAGGGAGAGGGAGAGGAGATAGAAACATCGATGAGAGAGAACATCGATTGGGCATGTGCCCAGACCGGGAATCAAACCAGTGACCTCTTGGTGCATGGGCCGACGTTCAACCATTGAGCCACACCAGCTGGGCTTCTGTAGTGTTCTTAAAGCTTTAGGGGAATTTAGCTCTGACTCTGACTTGCTTGCTAATGTGTTGAGCCATGCAGTTATTTTAAAACAGAGTGTCACCTCGAGTCAGTTCCATGTTGGACATACCAAGATTGCTGGACTCTTTCTGTCATTGGTAGCCCTGCCACTAGCATTATGGATCATGTATTGTATTTGCTCAAAGTGAAGTATTGCTTTTCTGTTCACTGCTCAAAACACGGGCTATCCATTTCCTGCCATTTCATATTTTGTGTTGTATGAAGTGGCATGCCTTAGCTAACAGCTACTTGGTTGTCTTATCTGTCCTTCATATGCAAATATCCCCCCCCCACCCACCCAGTGTAGGCTTGCAGCAAGAAGGATTTAAGAAATCTGATATTGACAAAAATCACTTGTGATATCTACAAGTAGTTTAATATTATAACTATGGAAGTTTAAATACTTTCACAATTCTGCACATCTTTAGATTATTTTAGTGGTGGTTCTCTGACACCATATTCTGACAATCCTAGTTAAAGATATTCTGAATTATTTAAGAACTTCCACTCATCTGTCTGTCAGGGTGGGTATGCTAATTGAAATTGGAAAATAAAATACGGCATTATCCATTTCTTCATATGACATCTCTGGGATGTGTTTGAACTCTTTCAGATGGTTCAGCTTAGTAACTTGTGAGAGCTTACTGAAGCTAGTAAGTTCCTAGAGGTGTCAACATGCATTCATCTATCTAAAGTCCTCTAGAGTCCTATCCAGCCAACAGTGTTTACCTGTTCTGAACCTCATGTCTTCCCTTTTCCTGTTCTAGCACTTCCTTTACTGTTGTCGCCCAGCTGATCCCTCAGCCCCTGTTCATTTCTTTGAATCTAGGCTTATTAAATCCCTCACTTTGCCTGCCCTCCTTTGATACTTTCCTGCCTAAAGTAATACTCTGGAAAGCCGAGTTCACCACTTTCCTCATGAACTCCAGGACTCCTTTCCAAACAAGTCTTCACTGTAGTCATGACTTCCATACCTTAGAGTGCTATAGCAGCGTGGCTTGTACTGTGCTAGCTGCATCTGCGTAGCGATGCCTTGCCTAACGGTTGGGTGCATGTGTGTCTTTTAGTCCTAATTAAATTTTCCATGTAGAGCATTGGCCAGTCTGTCTTGTTTTTCACCATAGCACCTGTGTACACAGCACCTAATAAATAATCCTTGGTGAAGTATTGAGGCTTAAAATCTTACTGGAATGTTATGAATACATTTATGACAGCTTATCTAGAAAAAAATTCTGCTTGAATACTTCCTTTTTCTGCAGTTTGTGCAAGATCTTATCTTAGTTTTAGCATTTTCACATTTATGAGGTATGCAATTTTAATTGTTCCAGTTAAGAGACACATTTCAGATCTTTTTTTCTCCTTGGCCATTAGTACTTTTTTCTTAATCTGTTATTCTATTTGAATAGCAATATGTAATTCCTTTTGGTTGGATTTTTATTTATTTTTTATTTTTTAAATATGTTTATTGATTTTTTTAGCGAGCAAGGAAGGAAGAGAGAGATAGAAACATGGGTGTAACAGAGAAACATTAATCAGTTGCCTCCTGCATGTCCTCTGCTAGGGATGGAGCCCGCAACCCGGGCATATGCCCTGACCAGGAAGTGAACTGGGACCTCTCAGTCCATGGGACAACGCTCAATCCACTGAGCCACACCGGCTGGGCTGGTTGGATTTTTTTAAATCCTCACCGGAGGATATTTTTACATTTATCTTAAGACAGAGTGGCAGGGGGAGAGAGAAAGAAAGAGACAGTGATGTGAGAGAGACACATCGAGTGGTTGCCACCTGCACAACTCCAACTGGGGCCAAGGATGAACTACAACCGAGGTACGTGCCCTTGGCCAGAATCGAACCCGGGACCCTTTTGTCTGTAGGCCGATGCTCTAACCGCTGAGCCAAACCGGCCAGGGCTTGGTTGGATTTAAAAAAAAACAAAAAACTCTATTTGGGAAAATAAGCCAAATGATATTGACATGAGAAGGAAAAAATTTTTTAAATAACCTTTTTAAATTGATTTTTAGAGAGAGAGGAAGGGCAAGGAAGAGAAAGAAACATCAGTTGGAGAGAGAAACATCCATTGGTTGCCTCCCACACACACCCTGATTAGGGGGAAAGAGGGTGTCAAACCCACAACCTGAGCATGTGTCCTGACCAGGAATCGAACCAGTGACCTTTCGTTGCACAGAATGACACTCAGCCTCCTAAGCCATGGGCCAGGGTGAAATTTTAACATTAAGATTCAAGTACCTTTAATTATAGTACATATTTTATTGAGAACACAACTTTAGAATGAGGGACTTGCAAACTTAAGTTTTACTTGGACCATGATTGTACCATGTGTTATTTTATGCCTAGAAATGTAATATTCTGAAGTCCCTATAGCTGATTTTACAACAGAAGCCTTTTATAATTCTACACCAACAGTTTTCCTTTGGTCACTACTAGAGTTGTACTTTTGCACTCTTGTTGTTCTCTGAATGCAGTTGTCAGAGATTAATTTGACAAGGTTTTGGAACATCAAGGTGTGTTTCAGGACCCACTGGGGTACTTGGTTTGGGGTTTTTCTAACTACGTAGAGAATGTTTTGTTAGCAGCATGATTTTGTTTGCTTCGTCATTCTTCTGAAGAAGAAGCTCATTGCCTGGCACTCTTCTGGCTTAATTCTGCATGTTTTTAAAAACTCTTGTCATTCTAACACCCAATCAGATGAGCTTTACTGTAGGTCTTTCATTTTGTACCTTCCAAATTAGATGACCGGTATAAGCCTGAATCAGAGCGTTTGCTTGAATCATCTGGTCACTTCTCAGTTAATGAGATAACACTGAAATAAAAATATTAAAATGCAGTTTGAAGAAAGAGAAGTTATATTTCCTGGTGAGCAATATTACTTGAGTAGTGATTGTCAAGAGTATTGATTGTTCTCTTTGTTAGGTCTGGCGGTTTTTAGGTTACCTCTTTCTCAAGATCTCTTAACAGTGGCCCAAGGATGGCGGCAGAACACTAAAGTCATTGTGTTGATTTCGTTCAGATTTCGGCCTATTAAAGGACGGCAAGAGGAACTGAAGGAAGTAATCGAGCGTTTTAAGAAAGACGAGCACTTGGAGAGAGCCTTCAAATGTCTGACCTCAGGCGAGTGGGCGCGGCACTGCTTCCTCAACAAGGACAAAGTGCAGGAGAAGTTGTTCAAGGAGCATGTATGTTCGCTAATGAGATTCACACTGTTTATCTGCTTGGATAAGAGGAACTGAACTAAAGCCTAAATTTTGCTGAACACTGAAACTGTAAATCATTTTTTTGTAAAATGAATTATATGAAGATCTAATAACGTAAGATTCTTTGTATGACTATCCAAAGAGAAAACTTTGTTATCTAGAGGTGAAATTTGCTGTGAACTTTTAGGGTACATAGTCAAGTCTAATAGTACTCAAATATGTGAAATTTTAAAATACCAACAAAACTTGTTACTTAATCTTAATATTTTTAAATTAATTAATTTATTTTTATTCTCACCCGAGGATATTTTTCCATTTTTTTGTTGTTGTTGTTCAGATAGAGTAGGAGGAAGAGAGAGAGAGAATCATCAATGTGAAAGGGACACATCGAGTGGCTGCCACCCACAACCCAACCAAGGTCAAGGACATACTGCAACTGTGATACGTGCCCTTAGCGGGAACCGAAGCCGGGTCTCTCTGAGCCATAGGCTGATGCTCTAACTGCTGAGCCAAACTGGCCAGGGCTAATCTTAAATTTTTTTATAGTTTGTTTGTGGTTTGTTTTTATAATGCTAAAGTCTAGCAGGATAGACAATTTAATATAAAGTTAACGTCAATTTTTTTTCTTGTTCAGGTGTTCATTTACTTGAGAATGTTTGCAACTGACAGTGGGTTTGAAATACTGCCTTGTAATAGATACTCATCAGAGCAAAACGGAGCCAAGATAGTCGCGACAAAAGAGTGGTAACTATTACACTAGTATAAACCCATAAAGTAATTTTATTTAAAATTCTCTTAAATTGCTGTTCAACTGCTAAGAAAGTCGTGGGAAGGGATGAACTAGAGCTCACCTGGAGGAGACAGTGCAGGGCCAGCATCTTGGACCAGTGACCAGGGTCTGTTGATGGACTTTATTTCCATCTTTGTGGTTTGGAACTAGAAGTCTGAGTTGAACTAGATGCTGTCTCTAAGCCAAAGTGCTTGTGGTTTCCCTTTGATTGAGTCTGGGTGCTGCTCAGTAACCGGACTCCTGAAAGTTAGGGGGGTCATGGTTGGATAGCCTGCTTCCAGAGTCAGTTCTTCACTGGCCTAGAAGGAAGGTGGGATTGAAGCCTTCATGATCCTAGGGAGTGGACAGGGGGAAACTTCTAGCATGTTGCCTGCTTTAGAAGATACCTGTGTGCCAGCTTAAACACAGGTAGTAAAGTTGAGCCCCATTAGGAGGGAAAACAGTCATACAGTAAAGAAAGAATGTGTGACTATGTCTCCTCTCCTCTATGCCTGTTCCCCGCCTTTTCTCCCAAAAGAAACATGTAGCCCCTCTCACAGACTGCCGTAGCATATTTCATGGTGGAGATTTTAGGGTCAGGTGCCTGAAAATGGAGGGGCAAAGGGCAGTACTGCCAGATGTGGATGGGCGTGTGTGTACCATGTTTGTGTTGGGGTGAGAGAGGCCTGCTCGGCAGCTCCCTGTGGTGTCGATGGGTGTGGAAGTTTGAGATCTTGGTTCTCCAGCTGTGCTATCAGTACAGTAGCCACCAGCCACATGTGGCTCTGAGCCCTTGAAATGTGGCTAGTCTGAACTGAGAAGTGCCGTAAATGTGATATACGTGCCAGATCTTATATTACATTAACATTTTCATTAATATTTCTTAAACTGATTATCTGCTGAAATAGTATTTTGGGTATATTGGGTAAAAGTATATTACTAAAAGTTATTTCATGTGTTTTCCCTTTTACTTTCTTAAAGTGGTTCTTAGAAAATTGAAGATTCTGTGCTTGGCTTGCATTACCCTCCAGAGGGTAGCAACCCAGTTCCAGGTCATCATGGCTCTTTCCCTCTGCCTGTCTGTCTCCTTCATCTAGTGTCAGCAAGCTGGCCTTAGTGCAGCAGGGGTCTGAGTCCTTCCTGCTTGCAGAACACTGCGCAGGCGCTGCAGCATATCCAGGCATGGATAGGTAGCCCCGCTCCTGTCCTGGAGGGCTCTCCAGCCTCTGGTAGGCATGAGGCAGCTGCAAAAGTAGCCACGGCTCAGGCTCGGGGCTTCCGGGTGGGGGCCCGAGTGAGTCAGCTGAAGAGTGCGGAGCTAGGCCTTCTCAGGGCTCAGTATTCATTGGACAGGCTTGTTGTATTAAAAGAAGCCTTATTATTTATAATTACTAGTAATTTTTAACATCACATATTTTAAATAGGAAACGAAATGACAAAATAGAATTACTGGTGGGTTGTATTGCCGAACTTTCAGAAATTGAGGAGAACATGCTACTTAGACATGGAGAAAACGACTTCAGTGTCATGTATTCCACAAGGAAAAACTGTGCTCAGCTCTGGCTTGGTCCTGCTGCATTTATAAACCATGGTAAGCGCTGTTTCTCAGGTATTAGCACTAGTGTTGGGCAGTACGGCTCAAAATTAGAATGGCCATGTCAATCTGAGTAAGATCTTTATTTTCCTTTATTTTATTTATTTAAAAAAATTTTTCTTTCATTGATATTAGAAAGAGAAAGAGAGGAAAGGAGAGGGAGAGAGAGATAGAAACGTCAGTGAGAGAGAATATGGATTGGCTGCCTCCTGCAAGCTCCCCTCTGGGGATCAGACCCACAACCTGGGCGTGTGCCCTGATCAGGAATCAAACTGGCTACCTCTTGGTGCATGGGTCGATGCTCAACCACTGAGCCACACTGGCTAGGCAGACCTTAATCTTTCTTTAAAGTAGGGTTAGGAATATGATTTTTTTCCCTCAACAAAGTTGTTAAAATAAATAGTCCTGTAGTTTAACTTAAGATGTAAATTTCTATCAAAAGTTGTAAAATTATATGGAAAGCTTATTTCAGATTTCTGTAATTGTTCGTGTTTCAGATCTTATCTACAGTTAATTGACTTTATCTTTTGGACATTTTTCAGATTGCAGACCTAACTGTAAGGTAAGTATAAAAACCTTTTTATCTCAAGTATTTAGTTTCTGCTTCCGGTAAGAGTTTCTTCATGAGTCCATTTCATTTCAGTTCGTGTCAACTGGCCGCGACACCGCGTGCGTGAAGGCTCTAAGAGACATTGAACCTGGAGAGGAGATTTCTTGTTACTATGGAGATGGGTTTTTTGGAGAAAATAATGAATTCTGCGAGTGTTACACATGTGAAAGGTAAAGTATTAAGTAAGATATTCAGCTTTTTCATTCTTTTAACTCCCTGATGATCATGGACACTAAATCACATTATCTCCTTGTCATTTAAATGCGGGGTTCGTCTTTTACATTCTAGAGCATTGTACCCACTACTGTGTGCATAAACAAAATTAGAGGGCCTAGAGCTTTTAGGGCACTGGCACCTGACCCTTTAAAATCTTATTATTACCAGCTTTTATTTCTATGAATGGATCAGAATTCAAATGTGCTTAAGCAGAGAATGGGAAATACCTTACACACACACACAGCAAGGGTGGGGTTGCCCCAAAAATGGCAGGTGAAATTGATCCGCTGACAGTCTTGTGTATTACCCAGCTGTGTCCTCTGGAATTTTTGTTTTGATGCACATACTCTTCATAATTCCTAAGTTCTTTCACTCCGCAAGGAACCACCTTGTGTGGCCCATCAGATAGACTCTGGAGTCCTTGTGGAAATCCCCCAGACCTGCCTTAGCAGTTAGCAGCACTCTGTCCACACGATCGGGGAGTGACTTCTGTGTGATGCACTCACAGAGGCAGCTCCACAGCTTGTCTGGGAGGTGCTGCCCGCAGGCTCCATCACGACCTCGTGCACACTGTGGGCCACAGTGCGGAGCACACCTGGACTTGTGGAGCCCATTTCACGTACCTTGCACTGTCCTGGACACTACTGACCTTGACTCATTTGGTCCTCACATCCACCCTGTGAGAGAGAAGTAGAAATGTGCCCCTGTTACAAGGGCAGAAACTTAAGTACTGAGCCCAGATCAGCCTAACTCAGAGGCTCATTGTCCATGTCATGTTGTGTTTGCAGATAGGAGCAGTGCTATCTGGTGGAGCTGCATCGCCCACCAGAAGCGGCCTGCCTGCAGCCGGCCTAGACGGGCAAGGGGGTAGATTCCCACAGGCCCCATTTTCTTCTTTCTGGGTAGCCAGACAGTCCCCCCTGTGTGGGGAGTGGGAGCATAAAATTTATCTTTTTCTATATAAGAATGGTATAAACATTGGTTGAATCTTAGACCAGTCCACAGAAAGACCCTTTAATCCATGAAGTAGTTTAATTATAGTTGAATAATGCTTTGAAATTACCTTATAGAGACGACGTAGTGTAGCAGTTGTGTCGGCCTGAGATCTGGGTCAGACTGCCTGAGTTGGAATCCTGTGACTCTGCACTTCATTAGCTATGATTTCTTGCACAACTTAGCTGCTTTCGTACCTTAATTATCCTTCTGTAAAATGGGGATAAGACCAGAAGTTATCTCATAGGATTGCTGTGAGGATTGAATAAGTTATTTCACATAAAGTATGTAGAACAGTACACAGTTAATACTCAGATATTAGCTATAAAACTACATTGTGGTTTCTGGTTATTTTCCCATTAGAATAGATGCTCCAAGAAGGCAGAGATGTTTATCTTTTTATTTACTCCTATATCCCAGCATCCAGAACAATACCTGGCACATAATGCTGTAAAAATGTTTGCTGAATGAATGATTGAATGGAGCAGATGATTTGCTAATAAGGTTTTGAAGGTTGTCCTGAAAATGTAACCACACACTCAGGATTCTAAACCAGCCTGAAACAGCTCTTTTACTGGCTCAGAACTGCATGTATTGTCATATTCCTTGGGTAGGTTCTCAGTTTCTCACTGGTCACATGAGGGTAATCCCACCTACTCCACAGGCTTGGTGTGAGCAATAGATAGACGCGTGCAAGTCCTTCCTAAGTGGAAAGGCCTAATATACAGAGCAGTGGGCATGGCAATGTCAGACTATTTGAGCAGTTTTATTTAAAGGTTGGCTGTGAATATTCTTTAAATTCTCAGGAACACCAATTAGGTAAGAGGGTGAAACTAGTCAGAGGAACTCATTCAACTATGAATTTGATATAACTGATAGACGCTTTATGTTAGGGCTGCATATGCCCTAACAAGGGTACACAAGGCTGGCACAGCGCGGTCTCAAGGTAGTGCGCACACGCTGTGCGAGCCGCTGGAGGGGAGAAGAGGCGGCCCGGGAACTGATGGGCAGAATGTTTAGAAAGGCACTGCGATCACAGCCGAAGTGTCCGGGTGCACGACGCATGTGTCTGGGCTATGACTGTCCTGACAAGAGTGGTTGTAACATGTTCCTAATAAGTACTACAGATTTCACTTTAGAAAATTTGAGGAGTAAAATCTAACCAAGTTATTGTAAAACTTATATGAAAATTTGATGATAGTCAAGAAAAAAATTCTAAAGTATAGTTAGGGGAGATTTGCTTTAACAGATATTAAAAGTTACTATGAAACAATTGTGATTAAAATTTGATGATATTGGCCCAGAAATGGACAAGTAGGTTAAGAGGACATGAAGAAAGTCCTGAAATAGAGACAAGTATGATATCGGTACAGTATTTTTGATCTGTGATTGGGAATCTGCAAATGCAAAGGGCTAAAGTAGTTTTATGTGCATCTTCACCTGCAGGACTGGTTAGCACCCCAGCCCCCGTGTTATTCAGGGCTCAGCTGTAATTCACTGTGTGTCTGGAGGAAAACCAGGCTGAGCCCCATCTGACACTACGTAAAAATAATTCCAGATGAATTAAGGATTTAAATTTTAAGACATAATGCAAAGCTATTAGAAAAAAATTTAGGAGAGTATATATTTAACCTTGGGATAGAATTCTTTAGAAAGAAAAGAAATGGTGAATACAGAATTTTTTTTTTTTTTTTATCCTCACCCGAGGACATCTTTTCATTTTTTGTTCAGGTAGAGTGGGAGGGAGAGAGAGGAACAGAGAGAGAGAGAAATATCGACGTGAAAGGGACACATCGAGTGGTTGCCACCCCCACGACCAACCAGGGCTGGGGACAAACTGCAACCGAGGTACGTGCCCTTAGCGGGATCCGAACCAGGGTCTCTCTGCACCCAGGCTAATGCTCTAACCGCTGAGCCAAACCGGCCAGGGCTGAATACAGAAATTTTCGAATGGCTGAAAGTAAAGTCAAAGACAAATGATAAACTAAAGGTGGGGGAATACACATATGGCAAAGAGTTAATTTCGTAATAACAAAAAGCTGTAGTGTAAGCTCATAAGGGAAAGACAGGCCTCCGGTAGAAAGGAAAGGTAAGGAGGATGCTGCACAGAAAATGATGGCCATAAAGCAAGGGAATTAAAACTATTAAGTAATCATTTTCACTATCAATTGGCAAAATTTAAGGAGCGTACTGTATACTGCTGGTGAAGACACGGAGAAACAGGCACAGTGTTACTAGGGCTGTGAATTTCTGTAACCTTTCAGGAAAGTGATCTGGCAACGTGTGTCCAAAATAAGTGCACCCGTTTTCCTGGCAGTCAGGCCCATATGGAAGAATCTGCCCTATGAAAATATGAGCCCTAGTTGGTAAGGATTGGGTTTCAAGAGCAGTATAGCAGCTGTGTTCATGGTGCAAATATAAACAAAAGAGCCCACAGGTTTCAGTATCACTGATGGGCTAATTGAATAAATTGCAGAATGTTTATTCTATGTAAAAAGTACAACTTTTAAGCATATTTACAATTCCAGTTTATTTGTCACTGATGTGATGATGGTAAAGCTGGGTGCTAGGTGAATGTGCGGCGTTTCCCTGCTGGCTCTGTTGGCCTGGAGAGGCCTGCAGCGAGTCGAGGCGGCAGACAGCTAACGGAGTGGAGCTGCCGTGCTGGCAGGTGGTTGGCCCGGGTGCCTCCGGACCCTGAGCTGCAGGGTTGAGAAGCACTGTCAACTTCTGCTTTATGGGTATTTATATCCTAAGATTGTTTGGCTTGTTGCAGCATAAGCATATATTACTCTAAGTTAGAAAGAAAAAATGAGGGTAATGGAGAAGCAGATGAAGAGTAGACTTTTACTAAAAACTTAATTTCCAGATAAAATAATTCTAGCACAGTGATTTATTTTGTGTTTAAGCATACTTTAAGTGTGGCCCATCTTTCTAGAAACGAACCAGAAATGTTACATGTTATGGTAAAAAGGCATGGAGTATCTGAAAATAATTTATTACTTTCTTCACCCATATGAAATGAAATGGCCTTTCAGATTTATGGATTTACTTTCTGAATATATTTCGGGGTGGAGTGGAGTGTAATTGGTTGCCTGCCTCGGCGAGGATTTCGATTCTTTTTTGAAAAAAAGAATTGAGGCAGTCCCACAGTAAGTTTTTGGTTGTTTTTACAAAAGCATTAATAAAAGGAGAATTCAGATCCATTCTGTGTAGGTGAAGAAAGCAAGAATCCTCACCTTACTTAACAAAAGTAGTTTCTGCGTTAGATTTAGGTCTGTGCTCCTTAGCATTGAGGGATAAGGGGGTGGGGGAGAAAATAAAACTGTTGTTGTCCCTTGGCAAAAAGTGAACACTCTCATTCCTTAGGGAAGAAACTCCTGAAAGAAATCAGTCACACAGACTCTCGTACAGGGCGATACTGATGTTATATGGAGGGTGTTCACAGGTCAGAAGCTGTTATTGTGTGGCTCTTTTTCAACAAGCAAAGACCATTGGAGGGCAAGCCAGTGAAGGCAGTTTTAGCCAAAGACATCTCACTTCTTCAATGCAATAGGTAGTGCCTTTTAAAAACCTTTTAATGTGTGATTTATTTATTCTTTTGAGTAGAGCTGAGAGGAAATTTTCCTTTATACATGGAATAAAGCAAAGATTTGCAGAACTAGATTCATTTAGGTAGTTTAGGCACTCTCTTATTAAGCACCCTCACTTCAGAAGAATTTATATAAATACAAATAGTTAGAACGGGTTAGAAATCATTCTTATCCAGTGGTAAAAGCAAATCTTTTCATGTATTTTATTTAGTAAACTGTTATTAACTTAATTATGGTCATTTATGTTTATTTCAATAACTTTAAAGGAATTGTTTAACAGTTTTCATTATTTAGAAAGTCAGACTTTCACTAATATAGCTTAACCTTCTTACACAGGATTTCAGTTAGAATTGGTTTGTGTCTAATATTCAGTTCTAAGTAATGCCTCAATTTATAAAATTCTGTTTGTTTTTAATTCCTTAATTCTCAATATTCAGTGATGTAGTGTTAAATTGTGCAGGTGTGTTACGTAAGCCACAGTTTATACCTAACTATTATACCAGCCAGTTTTGAAATTGAAGAATTAGTTACCTCTTGATATCTACACAAGAAATTCTACAGTTTCTTATGGGCAATTAATAATTGACAATAGTCATAACAATTTGTTTCATTATTTTAAGGTTAGAGTTGTTTGTTGGTTTTATATATTCAATATCTTTGAGAGGCCTGCTTGGCACATTTCCAGGGCCGATTGAGGCCGCATCAGTTCATCACATCCGCAGACCTGATGTGGCCCAGAGCCCCTGGCAGGCCCTTGTGGCTAGTGAGTGTGCCGTTGGTTGATGTGTGCTCTCTTCTCTTTCAGACGGGGAACCGGTGCTTTCAAATCCAGAGTGGGACTGCCCGCGCCTGCTCCTGTTATCAATAGCAAATATGGACTCAGAGAAACAGATAAACGTTTAAATAGGCTTAAAAAGTTAGGTGACAGCAGCAAAAATTCAGACAGTCAATCTGTCAGCTCTAACACTGATGCAGACACCACTCAGGAAAAAAACAATGCAAGTAAGTAAGGGAGATTGATAAGCATCTTTTTTTAAGAATTTGTTTTCACAGAATTTGTTTTCTAAGGTGTGCTTCAATAGTTTTGATCTTTTAAATATTGAGAGAAAGACTCATGCACTTCGGCAGCATCATTCTAGAAATGATTTGCCCACAAAAGCAAGCTGTCTCCGGCCTCCAGATTCAGTGCGCTGTTCTAGGCTAGATTGTCTGCTTTCGCGAATGCTTGGTAACTGGGTATTAAATTCTTCATCCTGTGTTCTAGGGTCATTATGTTTATGTTTGAGAGAAGCATTTTCAAGGTGTTAGTTTCACTGTAGTTATAATTATGTCACAGTGTCCTCCGAGAAGACAGGACTGGGTGGAACCGTACAGGCACGTACATCTTCCTGGCCTAGCCAGGAAGGATGGACTTGGGGAATCATAGCTTCTGGCTTCAAGGTTGCCACCTTTTTACTACTAACTTGCCATTTTTAAAATGAACCTGACCCAGTTTACTAAACCACCAGTTACCAGACTCAGAATTATGATAAAGGAGCATTTTGAATGTCCCTGTGCTATGAAATATTAGCCGCTACCGCAAGTAGCAAGATGGAAAGGAGAAAGAAGCAAGCTTTAAGATACCAGCCGGGGGTGGGAGGGGCAGGGCGGCGCAAGACCTAATGGAACTGGAAAAAGAGAGAATGAAGAATAAAGAGGAAAGAAAGAAGAAGCCTAAACAAACAGAAGAAAACGAGTCATCTTGGTAGAACTTTGAAGTCCTGGACCCATTCTAGTTGCTACTGCTTTTCGTCTGGGTAACACCAATTTTCTCTAGTTCCTCTGCAGCAGTAGGCTCTTCAGTCTGACTTATCCAGTGGTAAAAGCAAGTCTTCTAAGGTCTTTTATTTACTAAAATTTTATTAACTTAATTATGGTCATTTATGTTTATTTCAATAACTTGAAAGGAATTTAAAGTTTTTATTATTTAGAAAGTCAGACTTTCACTAATATAGCCTAGGCTTCTTATATAGACAGGAATCAAACTAGAAAGTGTTGACTTGGTGATCCCCAGAGGATGCCTGCTTCGGCACTCTAAATGTTCGCAGCTATTTCTTAGTACCCGAGTGCCTCCGAGACCTGGGCCCTTCTCCCTGTCCTCTCGTGTTTCCAGCCCAGCACGGAGCACGCCCCTCCTTTGCAGAACACCTCAAAGACAAGGGAAGGTGTTCCCCATGATGGTGAAGCTCACTGCCGTGAATTCACAAATCTGCCTGCTGCTGGCGGGAGTCAGGGGCCAGGCACGACCCCTGTCGTGTAAAAGTAATCCTGTGTATTGTCCAGTTTATCATGTCCAAAGTGAACAAAAGAAGAGCAGTTAGTCCGTCATTGACTGTGGACTGTTGGTTCTAATAATAAATGCAGCATAATCAATGTTTGTTTTCTGAGTCTGGTTCCTTGGTGAAATGTGAGACTTGTGAGACCTGTACGTGGAGAAGGCCGTGGTGCTGTCCACGTTGAGTGGCTCTGACATTCGTAGGGGTGTTTTGTGTTTTCATGCATTAGCTATATGCCTAATGTGTAGATTCTGAGCTCAGTACTCCACTTAGTTTAATAAACTAAAAACTTATTAAAAGCCTGGTAGGAGTGGAAGAGATACCAAGCTGTAGGAGACTCGGGCCCCTCCCTCAGGGAGCCATAGTCCCAGCACAGGACAGGGGCACAAGTAACGACCCAGAGCCCACACTGTAAGTGGCATTTTGTCAGGTCCAGGGGGAAGAAGTTGTCCCTCTGAGCCGTAGTCTGCAGGACAGAAATGCCACACTTTCCCGTGGCTGCTGATGTGAGGGCACTGACTTCACCCAGCTCCTTTCTGCAGTCAGTGACAGTGCTTTGGGCTGGCGTTCTGGCGGAGGCCGTGTGAAGGCGTGCCCAGCGCCCTACAGCAGCCGCAGGCCCACTCCAGCCCGCACGCAGGGCACATCATGTGCTCACGCAGCCTGGCCTCTGACTCTCCCGTGCATTCTTCTAGGCTGTGTTTCTTCCAGTGTGTGTCTCAGACCCACCCTCACACCTGTGAAAGGAGACTCTGGGACCGCAGCTGGTAGCAGAGCCAGAGCCTCCTGAGCCTTGCCCCCAAGGGAGGTGGCTCGTACTGTGTGGACAGACTTGGAGTGTACTTCCCGTGCGCAGCTGCCCACATTTATCCTGCCGCTTGTCTAGAATTTAGTGGCCCACAGAGGAACTGCTTTCCTCCAGCAGCTCGTATATTCTGAAAGAAACATTGCTGCTTAGTGAGAAGAAACATTATTTCTTCCTTCCACACACATCCTTTTAAAAATGTTTTTTAATCTTCACCCACGGATATGGTTTTTATTGATTTTAGAGAGAGAGGAAGGGGAGGAGAGAGAGAAAAACATTGATGTGAGAGAGAAACATCAGTCAGTTGCCTCCCATACGCACTTTAACCAGGGATAGAACCTGAAACCCAGGTATGTGCCTTGACCAGAGATTGAACCCACAACCTTTTGGTGTACAGGACAATGCTCCAAGCAACTGAGTCAGCCAGTCAGGGCCAGATCCTTTTTTGAGAGGTGTCTGGAGAGCCGCAACCTGATTGTTTGCGTAAGCATTCAGAGAGAGGGGACAAGAAGTCCATTTCCACACGTTCTGCTCGCAAGCCTGAGTCCTACCATTATTGGGAGATTATGTTTTTTCAGGTCTCTTGTTCCTCGACAGCTGGGCCACCCCTGTAGTCAGGGCTGTGATATGGAATGTCTGTCACTGTAAATGCCGCAAGTCGGTGCAGAGCCCAGAAGACTGGGCCAGCGGAATACGTTTACCTTCACTAAGGAGCACCTGTCCTTGAGGCAGGGGCCGCGGCCACAGCTCTCGCTCTGTCACAGACAGCACTCGCTGACCGGGCTGCTGCAGTGTCCTCCCCAAAGCCCGTTCCAGGCAGCCGCTGCCAGTCTGTGCTGGTCACGTCAGGTGGAAGCTGGGTGTGGTCCTTGATTACCTCGGTTCATATTGACAGTGTGGCTGCAGCCCTGGCATGTGGGGAGCTCTGATGTCACTCGGCTGCTCTGGTGTCTGGCTGTGGTTCTTGATTTCCATGCAGGGCTGCCTTATGACTTTGAGGACACCCTGAAATGACTGTGAGGGCCATGCCGTGGCTCCTGTATCCATTAGTCGGGACTGGCGTACCTTAGAGACAGTACTTAAAAACTTGGGATCTTGAACCCTAGACCTCAGTTCAAATCCCATCTCTGCCACTTGCCAGATGGACAGTCTTAGGCACACTAGTCCATGTGAGCTTGGTTTTCACACAGTTAACCACTCTTACTCCAAAAAATGCTGATTAGCATTGAAATCATACCAAGTTGGCCTTTTGCACACACCTACTATATAATAATTTCTAAGGATCTGTATCTCCACCTTAAGTTACTGTTGAGGTGTATGCATTTGGTGTTTGTCCTAGCTAGTGGAGGGGAGTGTGAGTGCTGGCTCCCGGCCACCACAGGTGTACCTGATCTCCGCGGTGGCCGCTGTCCTCCTCCTCCACCCCATTGTCACTGATACGCTCAGTGCCTAAGGATAGTGCGGCCCTTTGGGGACAGTGGGGAGCCCTTGGCACTTGCTACGCTGTCATCTTAGTCACTTTGCTCACACGTCAGCCTAACTTGCTTCTGTCATTTTTGACCTTTGACTGGGTAAGCACACCTTTTAGCTGGACTTTTGATGAGGTCATAGTTTTTAGACAAAATGAGAATACACTCTAACTGCATAAACGTAAGGGAAACGAGGCGTAGCATCAGCTAGTCTGGTCTGTGCTGTGCAGAGAGCGAGAGCAGTGACCCGAGTGGTTCACTAGGCAGCTCAGTGTCCGTGGCAAGGACGGGGACAAGGGGGACAGCCGAGACCCAGAGTCACCATCAGATGAGGTTCATTGAAGGAGTTACGATGTGTCCAAGGAACGGGACTGCCAGGCATCGTGGGATACATAGCACAGTGTCCTATCCTATGTAGAAAGTCATGGCGGGCTCCCTGGGAGAAGTGTTTTCTAAGCTGAATCTTTTTGTTAATCCTCACCCGAGGATGTTTTTCCATTTATCTTCAGATAGAGTGGGAGGGAAGGAAAGAGAGAGAGAGAGCGATGTGAGAGAGACATTGATTGGTTGCCTCCCACACAACCCTGACCAGGGCCAGGGACTGAACCATAACCGAGGTACATGCACTTGACTGGAATCGAACCCGCGACTTGTTGGTCCGTGGGCCCATGCTCTAACCACTGAGCAAAACCATCAGGGCATCCTAAGCTGAATCTTGAAGAGGGTGAGAAGTTGACCAAGGGAAGCATATTCAATGCAGAAGGGAACTTTACTTTTAAAAATACAAGGGGATGAGTGTAGGACTTGGATAAGTACAGTTTATCATGGCTGGAAAAGAAGGTGGGAAGAAGCGACATGAACATAATTTAAAACGTTAGACTTTGTTCCTAGGGCAGTAGGTCATTGAAAGGTGTAGATCCCAGACATGACGTGGGAGCTAGTGCCCCAGTTCAGGCAGGGGATCGTGGCCTTGGCAGCGGGGAGGACGGCCGCACTGACGTGCAGCAGTAAAGCAGGTGTCAAGAATGACCTCCCGGTTTCCGGTACTATTGCCCGAAATGAGGACTTGGAGGAGAAGCAGCCACGAGACTCAATGGGGAGTTCAGTTTAAGGGAGTTCACGGCGGGGCTCTGAGGTAGCCTCGGAGAGATCCAGATGACAGCGGGTATTTGGCGCCACGGTCTGCCCTTCAGGAGAGAATCGCTGGAGGAAGTGGCTCAGGGGCTCCCTGCAGGTCACTGGTAACAGCCACAGGAGTGGGTGTTTATCACCGGAGAGAGTGGTTTTCCAAGGGCGAGGATGCAGTGTCGGGCAGATGGAGGAAGAGTGCCAAGGGGAGAGGGTTTCTAGGAAGATGAATGGTTAGCAATGTCACTCTCTGCAAAGAAAGGTAAGGGCCGAAAGTGTGCACTGGATCTCACGACCTGGAGGGTGTCCGGTGGGCCAAGGCCCTCCTGCGAAGGGCAGGCGGATCCAGATTTCAGGGGGGTCGCTGTCAGGAAGGCGATGTGTACGTGATTGTAGCGCACAGCTGACTGCAGGTGTGCAACGAGCCGGGTGGGAAAATAAGGTGGAGAACCCAACACCAAGCTCGGCCATAGAACAGTCCTTGAAGAGTCCAGCTGAGCAGAGGACCACCTCTGGGAGAGCGGGGCATGGGGCACAGGTGCGCGTTCCCTGCGTCCACCTCGAAGGAAGCCTTGTAAGCAGGATTCCCTGAATCCTTATATTTTACAAGCAATTTATTGCCCAGCCAGTGTGGCTCAGCGGACTGAGCATCCTCCCATGGACTGAGAGGACCCAGTTTGATTCCCGGTCAGGGCACGTGCCCAGGCTGCGGGCTCGATCCCCAGTAGGGGGCGTGCAGGAGGCAGCCAATCGATATTTCGCATCGATGTGTCTCCCTTCCTCTTTAAAAAAATTAATAAAAACATATTAAAACATAATAATTTCTAGCAGTGTTTATATAATTCCAGTTTATATATATCAGTTCTCAAATGGCATCCAAAATTACTACTACTATTAGAAAAATAGTGGCTTCCGTGGTAAGAGCCCACACAGAGGCGCGCGTTCTTGGTTCAGTCAGGGGATCTCGCCCCGGGAGTTCCACTGGTTTGGATGCCTCGGGGCCGTTTATGAGCCAGTCTTGAGTACAGAGCCCTCCGTTCTCGGTGGTGCGATACTGTTGGAAAGCCCGTTCCTCATTCTTGCTCTTCTCAGTAAAAACTGACGGATGGCGACTTACTCGCTTGGCCACGCAGAAGGAGCAGTCGCCCTGGCCACCCTCAGGCTTGTAGTGAGCGACAGTCGTCAGGCAGCGTGCTGGGCTTGCCCACATTCATCGTTTCTTGTTCTCATTCTCTGATGAGAGAGGGTGATTGTTTGGTCGTCTCAGCTTCCCTGCTGAATAATTTGAAAGGAGTATTTTGGAGGGGAAGCGGTCTTCAGGTTGGGAATGTGGGAGACAGAGAAGTTGACTCCTAAAACTGTATACATAGATCCGAATGTAAACGCAGAGAAAAGCAGGAGAAAGGCAGAAAGTCGGTGGCAGCCGCGGGCACTGGCGTCCCATGCAAGCCTCGGTAAAGCCCTCCAGCTGTCGCCTTGGTTCTCAGGTGGCTCCCAGTAGGGCATCCCAGCCTTTCTCTGTCCTTGGCCAGAGGACGGAGGTTCCAGCGGTGTGCTGCCTCCCTCTGGGCGTGGGCTCAGGCAGGCCCAGCAGCGGGGGGCCGCGAGCTCTGCAGCCTGGTGCGGTTCTTCGGGGCGACTGTCTACCGGGGACACAACGTGTGGTTCCTAGGAACAATTGGAACAATTGGAACAGATTTGTCTTTTTGAGCCCATTCACGATATAGCTCTTGACTCAGTGAGTAATTGGCTACTAGAAACCTATTTAAAATGATGATTCTAAGAATTTGTGAAACAGAATAAAAACTGTGATTTTCCCCCCTTAGGTCTGCTTCAAATCTTTTATGTGGAAAAAGACTAAATCAGGAAAAGAAGTACTTATTTTGGACCAGTACCATGATCAGTGAAGGACCAGAATACAGTGAAATCTTGTACTTGGTACTAGGAGCTCTTTCAACACCAAATTTAAATGAGAATAGATGCTCCAAAAATTGGAGGCAGAATTGGAGAGCAGTGCAGGAACGCTTAGTGCAGGCCGAGGCAGGCGGGGCGCTGTCCTCCGCGTCGGCGTCACCCAGCCGTCTGGCCGAGAGGCTGGTTTGGGGCATTGTTCAGTATCACCCAGGCTGCTTCTCATCCTTTTCTCTGTTTGTTTGTTTGTTTAACTTCGCAGCTTCTAGCCGAAAATCTCCAGTTGGTGTGAAGAAGACCAGCAAGAGCAGAACATTGACAAGGCAGTCTGTGTCAGCAATCCCAGCTTCTTCCAACTCTACCTCATCCAAGCTAGCTCATGTAAATAGTTCCAGGGTACCAAAGAAACTGAAGAGGCCCGCAAAGACTCTGCTTTCTAAGGTGAAATTACGAAATCACTGCAGACGGCTGGAGCAGAAGAGCGCTTCGAGAAAGCTCGAGATGGGAAACTTAGTCCTTAAAGAGCCTAAAGTAGTTCTGTATAAAAATTTGCCCATTAAAAAAGATAAGGAGCCGGAGGGACCAGTACAAGCCGCAGTGGCTAGTGGGTGCTTAACCAGACATGCAGCACGAGAGCACAGACAGAACTCTGGGCGCGGGGCCCCTCCGCCCGGGGAGGGCGTTCCGGGCACCTACACGACCCGGCGGTCCGTGAGGACGAGAGTGAATCTGAAGGAGACCTCTGACATCAAGCTTGAACCAAATACGTCCGAAGACTATGAAAGCAGCCTGGCTGAGCCTCGCCCAGACGGCGAGCAGCTGACCCCTGCGACGCAGGGAGAAGAACTGGCCCAGGACTCTGTGCAGGAGGAGGAGGCACGGTGTCCGAAGAGTGACAGCGGCATTGCGAAGAAGAAGTCCCGGCAAGGAAAACTTGGGAGACAGTTGGGGAAAGCAGAGGAACCCACTGCGGTGCATGGTCCCCCTGGGAGAGCCGGGGTGCCCGGTGTGCTGGGGCCCCTCCCGGACCAGGGCGAGCACAGCGGCTCAGAGGGTGTGCCCGGCAGCTACATGGACTGGGCGCCCTCGCCTGTTGATGGCTCGGTGGTGACATCAGACAGCTGCAAAACGAAAGACGGCTTCAGAACTGCAAAAAGTAAAAAGAAGAGGCGGATCACAAGGTATGATGCACAGTTAATCCTGGAGAATAATTCTGGGATTCCCAAATTGACTCTTCGCAGGCGTCACGATAGCAGCAGCAAGACCAACGACCCAGAGAACGATGGAATGAATTCTTCCAAAATAAGCATCAAGTTGAGTAAAGACCATGAGAACGATAACAATCTCTATGTAGCAAAGCTTAATAATGGATTTAACTCAGGATCGGGCAGTAGTGCTACAAAATTAAAAATCCAGCTCAAGCGGGATGAGGAGAGTCGGGGGCCGTGTACAGAGGGGCTTCACGAAAACGGGGTGTGCTGCAGTGACCCTCTCTCTCTCCTGGAGTCGAGAATGGAAGTCGATGACTATAGTCAGTACGAGGAAGAAAGTACAGACGATTCCTCCTCTTCGGAGGGGGACGAAGAGGAGGATGACTATGATGATGACTTTGAAGATGACTTTATTCCCCTTCCCCCAGCCAAGCGATTGAGGCTAATAGTTGGGAAAGACTCTATAGATATTGACATTTCTTCCAGGAGAAGAGAAGATCAGTCCTTGCGGCTTAACGCGTAAGCTCGGGGCCTTGTCTGACCTGGGATAAGCTACTTCAATAAAAATTCCGATGTGTTCCTCAACTGAAACGTTTGAGCGGCGGCACTTCTCTCGTTTCTTCACTTAGCAGCAGAACATGTAGAACGTGAACAGCGTACTGACTCTTCTGAAGTCTGCTTTGTGCACATTTTTATTGTACTTTTTAAATAGCCTTCTTACGTGCAATCCTGAGGTAGGTAAAGCCTGTCGTCAAGTCGAGGCTCGCGCAAGCTGTCCGGGGTTAGCAGCTCTCCGCACGGGACGCTGAACACAGTCACGTGGCTGCACAGGTTCTTTCTGACTTCGAGGGGTCAGCGGGCTCTTCCCTCTGTGACTAAACGTGATCCGAGCCCACCGCAGTAGCAGCGTGTTGAGGTTTTCTAGCACAGCTAACATCACCAGCAGCAGTCTTGGCTTTTCGGTTTCTTCGCTAAATGTTCCCCTGGAGTTTGGTCAGTCCCACAGTGTTTGCTGGCCAGGCGTCCTGTGCGTGGCCTCGGCTACCAGCAGACCATCAGTGGGAAGGCCAGTTGGGTTCTTGAAAAGTACAGTTACCACGCGTGACGGCCAGCTTCTCAGTACATCATATGTACGAGGTTAGCAGTGTGCAGGAGGGGTTTCAGTACAGCGTATTTATTGCTTGTCCTGTAAATTAAAGACCTTGTATTTAACACTTTTCAATACTTTTAGATAAATTGTTCTCTGCAAGAATGGTGCTTATTTTTTCAGAAACTTGCTGTGAGCAGTGTGGAGGCGACAAGCAGTCTGCCCTGGGAACTGCAGCGGTCTTGGTTGGGGGCTTCGAGTTTTCTGTTGCACTTGTAAAATGCTACAAGGAATATTAAAAACTCTATTCACTTTAACTTATAATAGTTTATGAAATAAAAACATGAGTCACAGCTTTTGTTCTGTGGTAACCTATAAAAATGTTTGTCTTTGAAATTCAATGTAAAGAACTGAAAGCAATGTATATGTTGTAAATATTTGTGTGTTGTGAGAAATTTTTGTCATAAGAAATTAAAAGAACTTACCAGGAAGGTTTTTAAGTTTAGAAATATCCATGCCAATAAAATAGGAAATTATAAATACATAGTTTTAAGCACTGCATCAGTGGGAGTTTTTGGCTTATGTTAGTTTATGTATGAAAATATCAAAGAGTTTTTTACTATATTACCAGTTAAACAAAAAGAAGAGTCAGATTTAATTTGTTTTTGAAGCACTTTGAGAAGATAAATTAATTTTAAGTAACTTAATGAGCAAAATTTTACTACTTTATGTTCAGTACCATCCTTTTATGTTTCCGGATTACTTTACAAGTCATCAGACGGCGAGTCGGGGGCATGAGTCTGCACCGGTGCGGGCACCCGCGGGGTCTCTGGGAGGGCCGTGTACCTGGGTGCACGTGGCCCTAAGCAGCGCCGGCGCAGGGGTTCCTGCGGTGTCCTGAAAGGTCGCCCCGGTTTCAGTGTGGAATCCGCAGGTGATCAGAGTCCCGCGGAGACTCTGTCGCCCCTGGATTCCCGCCACTTCCCCGATTCTGGGAGGTGAAGCTCCTTAACACTATTGCCAGTAGGTTCCAAGTAGAAATTAATAATATTCATAAAAGTTTCTTAAATGTAGACGTTTTTTCTCCTTACGTTCTTCAAGGCATTACGTCTATAGTCTTGTGTTGTCTCATTCTCCTGTGTTACGGTGCGGTTAATCCCTCAGGTATTAATGTGGCAGCACGTGGCACCACCCAGCCCCCCCGCTCCGTCTCGAGTCCTCACTGGCCGAGGGGCGGCCCCAGGCCGGCTGTCCCGGCTCTCGGAGCACTTTACAGACCACAGCCAGGCCTCACGTGTCCCTGTGGCGAAGTGTGAGACTCACGAGGAAGGTCAGGCGTAGACCCTGTGTCTGGAAATACCAGGGAGCAGGGGTCACCTCTTCATCCCCACTTAGCTCGGAGTGTTTTGTAGACAGGACCATACCATGAACTGCTTCTTGGAATACCAACAATAGCCGCTTCAGGAATTTCAGACTTACGGAAAAAGTAATAAAATGTATTTCCCACTTCTCTCCATTTTTAAGCTTCATCCTAGTAATTTATGATGTTAGTTTTAACTGTGTCGCGGCCTCGTCCTTTGAGGCTGACCTTCCCGTGGTCTGAACAGTGACACCTGGTCGCAGTCCCTGCCCGGGAGTCGGTGCACACCAGCTCGGCAGCCATGCAGACCCTCCCAGGGAAACCTCCTTTCCGGTGTTGAAGTCGGGGGCCTCCGAGCGGGGCAGCTCCGCCATGTGCTGACCCCGGGAAGAGGTCAATCAGACTTTCCTTCAGTAAGACTCTCAGCTTGAGCTTTTGCAATGAATGGTCAAGACGTTCGCATTGTAAGAATTAGGAAATGATCGTAGAAATATATGTAAAGTATTCAATTTTCAATCATTTTTCAAACTACTGTTTTAAATTGTTTTGCTGAGTTGTAATACTTTTGAGATACAATGTATTCCTTGTACTGAAAGAATGAAAAAAGGACTTTTTCAGCATTTGAGGTAAGTTCTTTAACGTTTCATTAAAAACATTTTTTACAAATATTTTGTACATGCACTTGCAGTATTGAGGTTAATCATTTTAATAAATTCAGAAATTAAAACAGTTTGGCCAGTGTTCGCTGTATCTGAGAAGAAAAGATCAAAGTGATTTTTTCCCACAGGGTTTTCGTTTCAAGTAGAATTTACAAAGTCAGCGTTTCTGACACGTTTTCAGTCACAGTGTTGAGTTCTTGGACCCTGGTCTCCTTTTGTTTCTGGTTTAGAAGAACTTTTTGGCCCTGGCCGGTTTGGCTCAGCGGTTAGAACGTCGGCCTGCGGTCCCAAGAGACCCGGGTTCAGTTCCCGCTAAGGGCACGTACCTCAGTTGCAGTGTGTCCCCGGCCCTGGTTGGTCGTGTGGGTGGCCACTACTCGATGTGTCCCTTTCACGATGTTTCTCTCTCTCTCTCTCCCTCCCACTCTATCTGAACAAAATATCAGAAAAAAAAAAAAAGAAGACCTTTTTGACACTCAGTTTAAAAGAAGGGGTAAGCACTCATTCTCTCTACAGAGGCTACTTTCTTAAAAGGTACTTTTTTTTGCATTTCTTTTTTTTTTTTTAAATCCTCACCCGAGGACATTTATTGTTCAGGTAGAGTGGGAGGGAGAGAGAGGAAGAGAGAGAGAGAGAAACATCAACGTGAAGGGACACATCGAGTGGCTGCCACCCGCACGACCGACCAGGGCCGGGGACAAACTGCAACCGAGGTACATGCCCTTAGCGGGAACCGAACCCGGGTCTCTCCGGACCGCAGGCCGACGCTCTAACCGCTGAGCCAAACCGGCCAGGGCTCTTAAAAGGTACTTTTTTATTGAGTTTTAGAGGGGGAGAGAGAAATCAATCGGCTGCCTCCTGCGTGCCCCCTACCGGGGGATCAAGTCCTCAACCTGGGCATGTTCCCGACCGAAAATCGAACCAGCAACCTTTCCATGTACTGGACAGCACCCAACCAACCAAGCCTTACCAGCCAGGGCAACAGGGAGCATACTTTTAATTTTTGAAAATATGTTTGTAGCCCTGGCCGGTTTGGCTCAGCAGATGGAGCGTCGGTCTGCGGTCCAGAGAGACCCGGGTTTGGTTCGCGCTAAGGGCACGTACCTCGGTTGCAGTTTGTCCCCGGTCCTGGTTGGGTTGTGCGGGTGGCAGCCACTCGATGTGTCCCTTTCACGTCGATGTTTCTCTCTCTCTGTCTCTTACTCTCTCTCCCTCCCACTCTATCTGAACAGAAAAAGAAAATATGTTTGTATTGATTTTAGAGAGGAAGGCAGAGGGAGAGAGAGAGAAACTGATCGGCTGCCTCACCCCCTACTGGGGATTGAGCCCTCAACCCAGGCATGCGCCCCGACCAGGAACTGAACCAGCAACTTCTTGGTTCATGGGACAGTGCTCAATCCACTGAGCCATACCAGCTGGGTGGGAGGCTACTTTTAAAAGACGTACCATCTTAGCCCTGGCCGTTTTTGCTCAGTGGTTAGAGCATCAGCCTGCGGGCCAGAGAGACCTGGGTTCATGTCCCACTAAGGGCACGTATCTTGGTTGCAGTTTGTCCCTGGCCCTGGTTGGGTCAGGGCCGTGCGAGAGGCAGCCACTCGATGTGTCCCTTTCACGTCAATGTTTCGCTCTCGCTCTCTCCCTCTCTCTTCCTTTCCCTCCCTCCCACTCTGTCTGAACAAAAAATGGAAAAATGTCCTCGGTTGAAGATAAAAAAATATATAGAAAACATACCATCACCCAGCTGTTGTGGCTCAGTGGTTGGGCATCAACCCATGCACCAAGAGGTTGCCGGTTCAATTCCTGGTCGGGGCACATGCCCAGGTTATGCGCCAAATTTCCAGTGGGGGACATGCAGGAGGCGGCCAATCGATGTTCTTTCATCGAAGTTTTTTTCTCCCTCTCCCTTCCTCTCTCTCTCTCTAAACTCAATAAAGAAAAAGTATTTAAAAATAAATTTAAAAAGACATACCATCTTAGCCCTTGGGCCCATGAAGGCTTTTGCCACCCAGTTACTGGTGATTCCTGATCACTTAGTTTTTGTCTCGCTGGCGTGGGTCCTTCCTTCTCCCAGTTAAGCAAAACCTACTTGAAACCCGAGTTTGCTCAGCTCAACATCTGAGTGACCCTGGGCAGGCTGCCAACCCCAGACCTCTTTCTAGCACCTGGAAGTCAGCGCGCAGACGCCTGGCGCCGTGGCCAGTTGAGCTTCAGAAGTGAGCCGCGGGCACGCTTGGTGAGGCCGAGGCGAGTGGCGCCGACCTGGCCCTGATCCATTGAAATACCCGCCCAAACGTGGGCTCCAGCGTGAAAAGGGCTAACTGGTGGCGTGCCTGTGGAGTCCTCCTCCTCGGGCCCCTTCGTCTCGGGTTTTCTCCTTCCCAACAACCAGCAGCCGCTCGCTTGTCCTGGGCTGCCCGGAGCTCCTGCGTGGTGTCCGTTTCCCAGTGGCTCTGCACCCAGGCAAGGTGTCCGAGCTGCCAACCTCGCAGCCCCTGCCAAGGCTCTGGGAAGCGGGACCGACAGCGGGGCCGGTACGGCCTCCAGCCTCTGTCCCTGAAGCCCTTCGAGCTGGGCTCTGTGTGTGCTGTGGGCCCCGGGAAGGCGGAAGGGGTCCCCCCCAGCTGCCCTGCCCCTCTTCCTGGTGGCGCAGCACTCCGCCACCCCGGGACACAAAGCTGCTGTTCGGGACAGCTGGAAAGCCCGTCAGGAGGACAGGAGACAGCCTCACAGAGATGGCCTTGGTCATGTTCTTCCAAAAAAAACTCTGTTGCTGGATCCCGCATTGTCAGATTTGTGTTTTCCTGGAAGCTGCAGTAGACAGTAACTGCCCTGGGGAGTAAGCACCTGGTGGGCGCTGTGCCGCGGAGGACAGCAGGCTGGGTCTGCCAGGCTCAGGCCGCAGGAGATGCGCGTCTTTCATACCAGTGAACGCAGTGTGTTGGGGGCGAGAGGAGGGGGCAGGATTTGGGAGCCTTCCTCTTGGGGTGTGGTTAGAACAGTGGCAGGGCCGCCCCGTTATTGCCCTCCTGACCCCGGAGAGGCAGCCTGGGCAGCACTGTGGAGGCGGTGGGGCGGTTGAGAGAGTGGGAAGAGGGGGATTTGGCCGTGAAGCAGAGGATGACGGGGGGAGGGGGCGTGGAGGAGGGGATTGGCTTGATTAATAAAGGACAATGAGATGCAACTGCTGAGACGGAGCTTCCACGGGACGAGTTTCGGGACGGGAAAGGAAGGATTGATTCTGAGTCTCGGGGAGGAGGTGTTACGCAAAGTGCGGAGGTCCCAGAAAACCTCCAAAGAAATAACCTGGAGGACTGGCTGGGAAAGACATGGGTTCATCGGGGTTTACGTGTGCACTGCTGACGCTGGCACACCCAGAGGTGCCCGACACAAAGTTCTACGAGTACAGTAAACGGAGAAAGGCCCGGCCAGTGTGGCTCAGTGAGTTGAGCAGCATCCCATGGACTGAGCCTGGGTTTGGGGCTCAATCCCCAGTAGGGGGCGTGCAGGAGGCAGCTGATTGCTGTCTCCAAAAAAAAAAAAAATCAGTAAAACCACATTAAAAAAAAAAAGAAAACAGAAAAACGGGGCATATAGGGGAAGGGGCACATTTATGAAATCAAACACTAGCTGTTTACAGTCCAGGTTCACATCTAGAAGTTTCTCTTTGGCCTTAGTTGCTGGCCAGGTTCCCCAGGTCTCACGGTGGTCCGCTTACAGATGGCCATCACTCTATTCCCACACGGTGGGAGGGGAGTTGGAGCATGGGAAGGGCCCGCGTCCCATTTACAATACAGGAGGGTGGTCCGAGGAGTCTAGATCCAGCTTCCTTGGTAACAAGAGGGAGCAGATGGGGGTGGGGGAGGCGGTCCCAGCAGGAGGGTTTGTATTCCGCAAAGCAGACCAGGACTTCGAGAGTGAGGAGGAGATGAGGGGCCCTGGAGCTTGAGCATGAAGATTGGAAACAGAAAGGGGAAGGAAGCTGACCAGAAACCCAGGATGATGCATTGCAGAAATCTGCAACAGTCACTGGTTGGTGTCTAGGCACTCACGCACCCACGGGGCCAAGGCTCACGCAGCACTTGGCACAGGGTGAGCTCTGGCTCGGTGGTGGCCACAGCAGACCGCAGGGCTGGGGGTATAGGGCTCAGGTGTGCAGCAGAGGTCTCGAATGAAGAGCCCTGGGGTGCACGCAGGTTAGGGAAGAGAAGAGTCTGCAACCGGAGTGGACCAGGGGAAATGGAGGTGCTTGAGGGCTGGAGGCGCCCTCGTGGTGGGGACAGCCGAGCGGTAGTCAGACAGGAGGGTGAGGCCGGAGGGTGGACTCTCGGAAGTTTGTGAGGACTGCGTCTTCCATGGTGAAGAGGTCCCGGAGAGGTCTGGGGGAGAGAGCGTCCTGGTTTGGAGAGACCAAGACGTGGGACAGGACTGAGGGCACCCACGGAGACAGCAGGCAGCCAGCGTTCCCCGAGTCCTGGGAACCAAGCAACCGCGCCTGCAGGCAGACAGAAACAGGAAGGTGCCCTGCCAGGGTGGTGGGAACACCCCTGAGGCTGCCAGGGGAACTGGGTGAAAGCTCTGAAACTCAGTGAATGAATGAGTCAGCCTAAGGCCACGCGGCTGGTATCCAGTGGCAGGGACAAACGTCAAGCCCATCAACCCCAGATCCTGCTCCAAGGCCCTGCCCACAGGCTCACTCACGAGTCAGGAGTCACGAGGCCTCACCTTCACCAGGTAAATTCTCTTGGGTGACAAAGGCAATCACTGCTCAATCACTGCTGTTTACCCTCAGCCCCAGGCAGTCAGGTGGGGCCAGGAGAACTTGTCCAAAGGTTAT